GTCCTACATAGCCCTGATCTAACTGGCTGTACATTAGGATCTTGGGTATCCTGTCATCAGACATTCTCAAGACATGACCAGTTCATCATAACTGAGACTGTATGAGAAAAGTCTCGATTCCTTCAATATTACACTTGTTAAACATATATATACATACATATATATATACATATATATATATATATATGCACACACACACACACACACACACACACACACACACATATATATATATATATATATATATATATATATACATGTGTGTGTGTGTGCATGCATGTGTGTGTGTCTCTATGTTCATTCATATATATTAATGATGATAACACAGAAAATCATACACAAAAACCTTCAAAGGCACTCATAGTTTGTAAGTAATAGAAAAAATTATTCTTTTAATTATATAGTTTTTTTTAAGCTGGAAGACCAGCACATTTTTATTGTGCAATCAAGAGAGTTTTGTGCATTTTTATTCTACATGATTTCTGAAAACTGTGAAAGCTCCTTGTTTTTTTTCTGTCTGATTCTGTAGAGTTTCAACTCTGAATCAAAATAAAGGGGAGGATGTAAGTTTCTAATGTTATAAAGCAAAGATGTAATAAATTAAGTTTTAAGCCAAGTTCGAAGCAAACAAAAATGATTTGCATTGAAAAGCACAAAAACATGCAATAAAATAAAAACATAAATGATATGATAAAAGATCTGGCTATAGTGTTATCAGTTTCAATTTTACATATATAAATATGAAGCCAGGTCCATCAAGTAAATTGATTCAAGAAACAGAATTCTTTGAAAGTGGTGCTATCAAATTTACCTTTTACATTTTTTAAGATACACTCTTAGGTGCTTAATTAATGTGGTGGTGGTTTGTTGGTGGTGCTGGGGGGCATTTATGTTTTTTTTAGGTAATTTTCTAACCCTACCCCAGGACTTATTAAGTCCACCCTGTTTATTATTGTCATACTTCTTGAACCATTAAATAATTTTCTGACTCCTCTTTTTTTGTTAAGACCCTTCTCATTTGTTGCATATTGAAAAAAAAATCTGACTCCCACACCTCGCAATTATTAAGTCTTACCATTGTATTAGGCACCTTAGAATACTGCATGGAAAGAGGTTTTCTTTATCATTCTACTCATGAATATTTTTTTAAATAAAGAATTTTTGCATATTTTAAGGTGTTGGTTATTTTGTGCTAACATGTGAATTATTTTTTGTACATTTCTTCTCTTGTAAATGTTCCTGACATTTATTTCTTTGACTAGATTCTAATTCAGGTATTTCTCATAGGTTGTTGCTGGTTGATTGTTTTCTTTTTTATGGCTTATCAACCCTTTTTGGGTTATTTAAAGCCAAAACACATTTCAGATTATAATAAGTTGCTTACAGTACTCAGTGTTTGCAAGCATCCTGCATCTAAGTACTGACCAGGGTTTTATTTCTAAAAGGTAAAAAAAAAATTTCTTTTCTTTGTAACAGAATTTGGAAAAGTAATAAATAATAGTAATTGAAAGTGTAAGTAATATTGAACAACTTGTACATCAAGAAATTTGCTGCTGGAAAATTCTCAGCTTGACCCTAAATCCTAAATCAGTATTTTGATGACATCAAAATTTTTAGAAATCAAGTGCATTTAGCTTCTGGCCTACAGTCTTTCCCCTCACAGATGCAACATTGCAAACCTATCACTACTTCTATGGTAAATGTTCAGATGAGCTCCATTCATTAGTGCTACTAGCTTAGACCTTTACAGCCTGGCTATGTCCACGGGGTTAAATCACATTCATTCTCTTCATGTTCCATTTGTAAGAAGAAAGTTCCATACAGTAAGCTCCTTCCCAAGAACCATTACTTTAGGGAACATACTCCCATGTGGATGCTTCCCTGAACACTACAATCTTAACCTCTTCAAGTTAAAGGTCACTCATTATATATCCTGCATATCATCATAATCTTCATTCCTATTTCCTCCTCTTATGTTCGTATCACACATCTCATTCAGTAACCCTCTACCTTGAGTAACTCTCGGGCCTTGTATTAGATGAACTTTAGTAAAAATAAAATAACTTTAGTAAATAACTTTAGTAAAAATAAAATAAAATGTGGAATAGAATGAATGTTACATGGCACAAGGTCATTTTTCTCAGTCAGGCCTGAGAACTTTTCCGCACCACCTTACAAGTAGCCATTCTTATAACTCCTTATGGGAGTCAATCCCACAGAATCTTGATACATGAACAAAACAGAACAAAACATGATCTTTGTACATTTTATATATACAATTTTGATTCAAATGTACATCTTATGAAAATTGGAAAAAAAAAAAAAAACAATAGAAAATTAAACTGACATAAATTGAATTCAAATTTCTATGGTAATACTGATGGAACATATAAGAAAAAAAAAATTCCCAAAGTGTCTCAAATCACGATACTTGATGGAAAAAAAAAAGAAAAAACGTGTAACTAAGTGCGTTCACTTGCTAGTCAAGGGAGATAAGCCATGTGACATAAATTGGTGCAAGGGAAATTATGTTGTTTGGCAGCCGGATAAAAATAAATAAAAAGATTGAGCGATACTAAACAATAAAAATAAAATAGATTTTCATTGCATTTAGTTTTCATAAATTAATAAGCTTATTTATAGTCGACAAATTATATTTTTGCCTTCTGTACTAGGTTGACTCAATGTAGATATTAGTCATTTATATTAGTAATTCAATTGACATTTGTATTATTCACCTATCCCCAAATTTAATTTAATAAATCATTTAAAGTGACTGCATTTTCTTTTTGGTTACATAATAGTTTTATATTAATAGATGCTATTTGTGTGACCTGATTACTAATAACATTATTTATATATATATAAGTGTGAGTGTGTGTGAGTAGGGTATTTTATTCTCTCTCTTGGTCTTTTTAATTCTTGCTTCCAGATGTCGTTGGTGTGTGTGTGTGTGTGTGTGTGTGTGTGTGTGTGTGTGTGTGCGTGTGTGTGTGTGTGATATAACGATGTATAGTTTTGTATAATTTTATATATAAACAAATATTATTTAGAAAAAATATGACAAACTGGAAAGGTGGTTTTTTGTGACACGTTTCATCTGTTAGGATTTCATCAGATTGGTCTTTGTTGACATTGCCACGTCTACACATGTGCATGAAACAAGAGATGCAGGTAGGTTCAAAATACTTTTGAAAGAAATATTCTTGAAAGAATATCTTTTTTTTTCCCTCAGTCTAGCCAAATTCATCCATATTCTTTTTCTTTTTCTCTCCATCACATTTGCCCCTGACTATCCCGCACTGTGACAATAAAAAGAAAAATAATATTCTTTCAAAATATTTCTTTCAAAAATTTTGAAACTACCTGCATTTCTCATTTCGTGTGCACATGTAGATGTGGGAAAGTACAGTCTGATGAAATCCTAATGGATGAAATGTGTCACAAAAAAAAAACTTTGAAGTTTGTCATATTATATATATATATATATATATATATATATATATATATATATATATATATATATATATGTGTGTGTGTGTGAAAATATATTTAGGAAAGAACTCGTTAGGTAAATAATCCAAAGTTTTTTTAGTATTTTTTGTTATTATTTTAAAAAAAACAGTGCTGGATACAAAAGTAGAGCCTAAGTTTTCGCTCTTGTTTTGAAACATGAGAATTCTTATGTAGCGATGGAATCATATTCTTAAATAAATAATTATATATATATATATATATAATTATTTATAGTAATAAATCAAACAATTTTTATGAATATATATATATATATATATATATATATATATATTCATAAAAATTGTTTGATTTTACACCATTACTAGATTTATTAAGTGGAACCATAAATAAATGATAATGAATCTATAAAGTAAATTCCTTTTCCTTGCTGAAATTCAAATTCATTTTTTGCATATAATTTCTACATTGCAAATAAAATATAAGGTTTTCATCATGCAATGATTTTCTTGGGGTCAGCATAATTATATATGATTTTTATCTTTCCTGTCTGAATGTATATAAAACAGAAACCCTTTAATATTCAATGTGACTTTCAATTTAGAAATATCAAGTAAAGATTAGAAAGTTATGAAATCCTTAGAAACAATCAACAGACTGGTAGTTCTTTGACTACTGCTTGTGGTGGGGTCAATAATTGGTTGTGTTCATTCAGAAATTTCTAGCAGTGTAAAGATAGACTAGCATTGGGATTTCTACTCTACATACTCACACCACTTACATTTTCAAACTGAAATGAACACCAGTATATCATGTAAGAAAATCAGAATACATCAACATCAAATAAATACAGGCATATCAAAATCAATATCAAGATAGAAAAGGGAATTGTCAATATAACAGATGATTAAGCATAAGACAGGAGAAATAGAAATAAATGAATACATAAGAGTTTTTATAACAATAAAGAGACAAAAGTTTATTGAGTAGTGAGGTTTTTTGTAATATCAAAGAATTAAAAGGAAAGAAGCAGATGAGATCTAGAAAGCCATAAACATATATTCAATGACCATTTTTAAGAAAGAAAATAAACATAGTATACAGAATTGCAAGCTAAATATGGTTTAAGATCTGTGTATGTATAGTTCCACAAAATAAATTCAATGTAACACAAAAGTAGCTGGAAGCATTAATATTGAATCATTTGTAAAATGGAAACAAAAATGGGTTTAAACCTGTATCCAAATTGGAAGACATGGGTCTATTTATTGACCAGAACATTTAGTGGATTGTGGGGAACTTCAGTATGGGGTAATGGTTATCTAGTCATTTTAGTTCAATTATGACTTTGTAGTGAGTTCAGTTCTCACTGCTTTTTTATTATAAAAACGTTAGTTGATTTTACATGTTAAATGTTGTTGGGTTATTAATTATCAAAATCAATTTTCTTAAAAATTATATTTGACTCTATAAGCATTTATTTGGTTCAGGGAAAAGTAAATATTGGTTGTTTATATATAGGTCTATTAGTATTTACTTGGTTTGTGGATAGATAGATAGATAGATAGATAGATAGATAGATAGATAGATAGATAGATAGATATTGATTGTTTATATTTGACTCTATAGGAATTTACTTGGTTTGGGAATAGATAAATATTGGTCAGTTAGATTTGAGTCGCATTTACTTTGTTCTGAGATTAGTAAGCATTTGTCATTAGTACGTCCCTTCATTTTTGTTTTTCTGCAGGGAATACAGTTAACATATTCTAAACCCTGCCAACAGGTCTTCCTCACTGGGTATTCATGACTTATTTGCCTTGTGTCAAACTAAGCTAAGCTTAGTAAATAAAAGCTATTAGTGGATTGGCTTGACAAGTTCCAGTTCTTAACACATATACTTCTTAATAATTTATTTTTGATACTATTACTCCTACTTTGTTATTAAAGTACTTTCCATAACAGAAGCTATCAAAGCTATTCTCATAAAGTATTAGTTTGTTACTCACTGTGTGCTACTTGAAACCATCTTTGGAAATCATTCAAAATTTTGTTTGGATAGCTGAATTATTTCTTCATGTTCTTGATAGTGTTGCCACAGTAATATAGAAGATCTATGCTTCAGCCTGCCTTCATCAGATGTGTACTTTGTAAAAAAAAAAAAAGAGGAAGAAAACCTATTTCTTCAGCAGGCAGTGACAGAAAAATGCTTGCTAATATACTAACTGGATCAGTCCAGTTCAGCAATGTTAGATCTTCTTTTATATACCATGTCCCTTCAAGACGTAGGTGATCATGGCCCTCCACATCTTCTTATCCCTTGTAGCTCTTTATAAGTTTTGTTTTTTTGTTATTTCTCCCAAACTCTTTTTTTGCTATTCAATTGCTCAAGCTCATCAAATATATTATGCACTGCTTTCTTCAGTTCACCTTTCCCTTTATCCATCCTGTGAGTATCAGTTTTACCAAGCCCTCCTTCCTTATTACCTGCCCCAGAAACCTCAACTTTCTCTTCCTGATGTTAAGTATAAGATTCCTTTTTGTTTCTATTCTCTCCAAAACCTTGTTGCTCACATGTTCAGCCCATGGTATCCTCAGCATCTTTCTGTAGAACCACATTTTTGTTGCTTATCATACCATCACCCATGTACCAAGGTGATTGCAATCTATACATAGACAAGTTTGTCAACATTCTTGCCAAGCAGAGAAATCCATGGTACTGAAATCTATACTAGTCTGATTATGTATCTAGCTGACAAGTCAATTATTGCTGCCTCTTTCAATTTTCTTACTCTCCAGCTGTGTTACCTGGCAGTTATCTGGACCTCATATAAGGGAGGGTAATATTTGGGACCATTTAATTCTTTTAGATTTAAAATATCATTATTATATTATTTTTATATAATTAAAATGAAAATAGGCATACAAACTACACTACAAAAAATTAATTTTCTCACTTTTTTACCTGTTTTGCATGCATGTTCATGCAACCATTTCCCACCATTTAAAGATTAAGAGTTGTCTCAAACTAAAGAAGAATATTTGGTACTCAACATATTATGACAGTTTTTCAAGATAAAATACTATATGGTAGTGACTATGAGACCAATAAAAATGATAGTATCAGGAAAGATAGTATAATAAATGAATTAAAATGAATAAATTTTAGTTAGTATTTATACATACTCTGCTACTGGGAGTCTGGCGAGGATCTTTGTAGTTTTTCATGGATTCATCTGCAGGAGAATTGCGGGAGGATGTAGATAAATTGCCTATAAAGAATAAAAAATACAATAAATCAGTTGTAGACATTGAGTAATCATCTGTAATATTATAAACAAATACATTTTAAGTTTATTTATTATAGGCCACATACGCGGGAAGAAGACTGGAAATGAGGTTAATTTCTCAACACAAACATGTATGTCTTTTACATGTTAATACCATTGTTATTTTATGAACTTTTTGCCTTATTACTATTACTTTTCTTACCTTTGTATTGTGTGTATACAGGGAGCAATGGCTAAATTGTTGCCACTTTATATTTTTAATTTAGTTAGGCATCGTATGTGAGAAAAAGAGTACCATGATGCAATTCACTCCACTAGAAATTTGGAAATGGCATGCTGTACTGCTTGGCATTCATACTAGAAGCTCAATTATGAACATTTCAGAGTGTTTGGGTGTCAATCTGAAGACAGTTCAGAAGATTCGGGTAGAGTTAGATGAGTCTAATGGTGATTACAAAGGTATTTAGAGTGATTACTAGTGATGGTGGTTATACCTCCTTTTCATCTTCCCATAGGGCCTCAGACTCAACATGCAGGCCTACATCAGGTGTCTTGAGGAGGTAGTGCTGTTCTGGGTCAAGAGGTTGGCTGCTGGTAGACATTATGTTTGGCAACAGGATTCTGCACCATGCCACACAGCAGGAGAACCCAGTCATGACTGTCAGACAATTTGTGCAACCACATCACCTCTTATATCTGGCCACCTAACTCCCCAGACTGCAACCATCTTGATTATTATGTGTGAGGTGCAGTTGAATGAGAGCTCAACAAAACTCCTTGTAATACCAAAGATGAACTGAAGGCAAGGATTATGGCAGCATTCACCAACTTAAAAAAGGAGACCGTCCAGAAGAAATACAGGAGATTCTGAAGTCACCTGGTGGCTGTTGTTGAAGCCAGTGGTGATTTTATTGAATAAATTTACTCTTTAGTATTTCAAAATATTTTTGTGTAATTTTGGTAAATATATCTGTTAAAATGAGATGTCAATATTATTTTCATTTTGGCATAATTTAGATGACAATTTAGCCATTGTATCCTATATATATATATATATATATATACATTGTTTGCTTACTATTATTTTGCCCTGTTTGTTTCCTTTCGTTATTGTTTATTGGAAACTTTGGCAGTTCTGTTTGTTGGGCATTTTTGCCAATTACATTTAACCATAGTCAATACTCTATATTCATAAAAAATGAGTTCAATTTAAAAAAAATACCTTGAATCACCACTTCTTGTAATTATAGACAATTCTATATGAATTATTTAGGTTTTTTAGTTACTAGTTGTTATATATGTAGAGGAGGTTGCAATGAACTGCTCTTAGTCTGGACTGGACACCACTTATTTTCCTATAAATATATTTGCATTTGATTGGTCCTCTAAGAAAAACTTCTGCTTACTTGATCTGTAAATCTGTCTTCCACTTTGTGTCACTTAAAATGACTTTCATTTGACTCCTTGAACTAAGCTCTTCCAGTATGACTCAACTGCTATTTACTCAACTTGGCTTTCAGCTAAACAAATTAGCAGAAGCTGCCATCATGCTAGTAGTCTGTATAGTCTTTAATTATCCAACATCTAGTCAAATATTCATTACCTATATTTTCTTGGTTGTTGGTTGGTTGATTTTGTTTAGCGGCATATCAACCTCTATGGTAGCGGTGGTCAAACCATAGCTCATGAGCCACATGTTGATCTTTGATGTGGAAATATGTTGGCTGAGATCATTTTTTCATCACACTCAATATAAAAGGTAAATAAGAAAAACTTCAACCTTTATAATTATTTACTGTGTAAGATTTGAGACCCCATTGAATTAAAACGTAACTTTGATGTTAATGTAACAAAAATGTATGCGTAAATTTTCTTCATGTCTTGTGGCACTCAGATATCTGAATTTTATTATATGTTGCTCTTACATTAAGCAACTTTGGCCTCCCCTGCTCTATGGGTTTTTTTAATGCCAAAATCTAAATATTTCAAACACAATTTTATGGTTTCAACTAAATATATTTTAAATGAAATTGTATGCATTCAACTACAGATAATATGTATTGTTGGTCATTTTGTTATAAATATGTATTTTTGGTAATTTTTTTTTATATAAAAATGTATTGCTGGTATTTTTACTATAAATATATATTTCTATATTTTCGTAGTGTTTTGTTTTTGTTTGGGGTTCACTATTTGCTCATAACTGGAACCTTAACAGGTGCTACCACCCCAGGTCAGAGTGGACCTTAGAACAACAGGAATTAAGAGATAATATTTTCTTAGAGTTAATTCTATCTTTCATTCTTTAAACCTGTCTGTTAGACATAGTTTTGGAAGGTAAATTTGAACTTTAGTTATTTGCTTTAAAAAGAATAAAGATATTAAAATGTTCAGAATTTTTAAATGGCTAAAATCATTTGTCAGTTTTTGAAAGCTGTATTAACTTAAGTTAAAATTATAGAAATGAAATTCATTATGCTTATCAATATAAAATATTATGTGCAGATAATAGATAAATATTGTTTGATTAGAGTTAAACTTACCAATCTTCGTTAACGGTGTGTGAAACAAAGCCTTCACCACTTCTTTGACGGACATTCGGAATAAGTGAACAACTTCAGTGGGGAGTCTATCCCTGTTCTTTTCCAAGAAACCTACTGTCTGATATTCCACCTGTAAATAAAATAAAAGAATGTTTTATGCATATAAGTAACATTCTTTTCAAAAATGTTACATAGGAATTTCAGCAATCTTTAACCTTCATGCCTGAAAAAAAGGATCTTTGTACCTGCAAAAAACAGAGTGTCAAAAGGATGCTTCTTTCCCTTGACACCACTATTATTTTAACTACATTTACTCCTCATGTTTATCATAAATCCTAAAACTAAACATATGAAAGTGAATTTATACATTTTCTTTGTTATTAAGAACTGACAACAAAAATAAAAAACACTATTTAATTATTTACTTGTTTATTTACACTGTTTATTATATTGCTTATTGGAAAGGTTGGCAAAACATCAGCTAATTTCTAATTGATTCAAACTTTATAAAATGGTAAATAATAAACATTTCCTTAAAGTTGGTTCACATATTTTAATAATTTAGTTAATGTTTATAAATTTATAAATAAAAAATTGTTTTCATATTTATTTCTTTATAAATCGGTAAATGATAAATATTGCATTACATTAGTTTTAATTGTGTTAATCTTTAGAATATTGTAAATATAAAATTATCCTTGTAAAAAAAGATTCTAATAGATAAATAGTGTTTAATATATTTGTTGTAAATTCTCAAGAACAAAAAATGTATAAATTCACTGTCAGCATTTGTTTAGGTTTTATTACAATTCTAATCAATGCTTTTTAAAACAATAAACATTGCTGAGGAGTGAAGGTAGTTAAAATAATAGTGGTGTCAAAAGAAAAACTGTACTTTTCACTTTTTTTGTGGACACAAAGGTTAAACATTGCTGAATTTTCTCTGTATTTATCTGTTTTTTTTTTTTAAAACCTGGATCATTTTAATATTTTCCATATGGACTCTTTAACCCTTTGCCTGTCCAGGTCATTTTCATGTGTACAATCCAAACGTTCATGTTTGTTTTTCAGATTTATAATGATTGCAAGGCAACTCAGCTTATTTGAAAAATGGAATGTTTCACATAGTAAAAACCTGTGCATCACATGTGATTCACAGAATGTACAAATCATAAGTTATTTACACTATGCTCTGTGCATCCCATGTGATGTAAAGGTTATAATCATTTCGATAAAGTGGAAAAATAGATGTCTTTCATTTGAGACCTTACATTATCAGTCAAGCCTCCTGTACTCATATGATGCACAAAACATTAGTTTAGGTCTTTCCTCAGATGTCCTGCTCAATAGTAGACACTTTTGTTAAGCATCTTTAGTTTTACCACTCTTTTAAAATCATGGCTTGTGCACACCACATATGATGCACAGACATGGAAATCACATGACCTGTGCCTCATGTGATGTGCAGGACAGGCAAAAGGTTAATTATGTCTAATTAGAAACAGTTATCACCTTTTTCTTTTTCAATTAGATATTTAAAACACAAGGAACCAATTCATGTTGGAACTTCTGAGATGAAGAATTATCATTATTTGGCAGTTGTTATTGTGTGTTCAATTCCTGGTTTGGGTAGTGCAAAAAATTTTCTTCTGACTGGTCATAACTGATCACATTGAATAATCATTATTAATTTGAGGAGCGATAAAAAATATTCTTTGGATAATGCTGGTGATAAATAACTAATATTTTTTAATCAAACCACCACCATCATCATCACTACCATTTCCTTGGGCCTAATGCCTATTGGTGTCTAGTTAATCATTTTCCCATGGGATTATCCATAGTTGTTGAAATCTACTGTTACAGTAGTACTTTACAGACATGGTATATGAACGCCATGTCTACCCATCTTTGTACAGATTTAGGTGGTTGAGTTTTGAAATTAGACTTTTCTTTTTCCTAGACTGGTTCCCAACCATAGTTGGAAAGCTCAGTCTGCTTTGATATTTAACTCATAGTGTTGGGGGAAAGGAAATAGATTTATACTTTTCCCAATGGTATTTGTCTGAAAGTGAATGTAATGAACTTGTCCACAATTCAAACTCTGCCTGCAAAGTTCTTATTTCTGAACCATTACATTGTTTTTAATCAAGCATGATACTTACTTTTCCAGCATAATGCTCAATAGTGAAACTTAGACTCTGTTCAGCTCGAGGCTTTATATAAGCTGGGCATCTAATATTTTGATGAAATTTGGCTGAAAAGAAAAAAATAGCATAACAATAAAATTGATTGACTTATCTAAGGACAGCAGAATATCTTTTAGATTAAATATCATCTAATACAATGCTCGAGAGCCACTCAAGATAGAGTGATACATTCAAAATGGTAATGATGATTGAAATGTCTGATATGAATGAAAGAGAAGGTGGTAGGATGTGAAGATTATGAGGATAGATAAAGAGGACAGATAATGTATGACACTTAACATGAAAATGTTAAGATTGTGCTGTTTAGAGAGCATGGAGAAAATAAGTCTGGCACAAGACCAGTGAGGTCAGGGAGATTGTGTTATGCTAATTTTTCAAGTAGAGAGAAAATTTTTGCTTTGAAAATCAGCATTCAAAAATGGCTTTCATCTAGATTCAAACACCAACCTCAAGATTTTCAGTTTTAGAACCCATTTGAATGAGTAATTAAAACTTTAAGAAATATTAGAGGTGAGAATTTTAGAAAAAAAAAATAACCCTACACGCAAACCCCTAGTGGCTTTCTGGTGGATCACTGATGGCAATGTCAGCGGTCCTCTGGTGGCACCAGTGGGCTTCTAGCAGTCTGTCAGTGATAATATTGCCAAGATGAACAAGCTGGTGGCCTGACAGCAGGCCACCAGCAGTAAACACTAGTAGCATGCCACCTAGTGGCAGATTTGTGGCTTGCATGTAAGGAATATAAGGCATTAACAAGATTTTTCTTCTTCTATATGCCATGTCCCGCAAGGGCATTGGCGATCATAGGTCTCCATAATTTCCTCTTTTTTGTTATCTCTAACCCTGTTCTACCATCCATTTACTCAAGCTAGGTAGGTTATGCATTGTTTTCCTCTGCCTTCAATCTGTCCTGTGAGATTTTCCAAGCCTTCTTTCCTCATTATGTGCCCTAGAAATTTTCAACTGTTTCTTTCTTATGAGTGTCTTTTTGTTTCCATTTTGTCTAAAAATTCATTGTTGTTCACATTTTCAGTCCATAGTATTCTCAGAACCAATCTGTAGAACCAAAATTCTGTTGCCTCAAGTCTCTTCAGCATTTGATACAATATAGGAGGACTGATATTACATAACAGTTCAAAACTCTTTTCTTTGTTTCTAACAAAACTTTAAAATTTTATCTACTTTTGAAAAGCACAGCAGTGGATGCTGGGCAGTTTCCTCACATATGAAGAAGTAACAAAAACATGGTTCTACAGAAGGATGCTGAGAATTACATGGACAGAACATATAAGCAATGAGGGAAATTTTAAGGATGATGAAACAGTTCTCTCTTCCTTTTGTTATAAAGTAGGCCTGGTCCTATAGCAGCATCTTCCTCGCTGCATTAACAAGGAACATTTGGTAGATACTAATGCCAGCATGACAGTGCTTGAAAACCATACCACAGGCTGACCCAAGTTAAATTTGGTAGACAAAACTTTTCATAATCCATTTATGATTGTGCTTGCACAAAGTCACAGGTCATTGTGACTGAGGGTTTTGTGTATGGCCATTGCTCAAAATGATAATCATGTCACATTATATGTTCTTTCACAGAAACTGTAAGTAATATCTTCTCAGCATAACTGCAGTATAAACCATGGGTTGACTCTGTGGATGTTGAACAATCTCAGATGTGTCTGAGCAGGTTGCCTGCGATAGGGATTTTGAGCATGGTAGTATCCAAATGGAAAGGTTTATGGGGTGCATAGCTAAAGATCAATGTTGTGGCAGGAATTTTTGTTCTTAAGATTAATTTTTGATTACTTGTGATTGTTTAGGATTTTTTTTATCTGGACATTGTTCACTTTCACCCCTGTGTCTGCATTTGTAATTTATGACTATTCAAGATTATTTGTTTTTGGGATCTGGAAACTACTCACCATCATCGGGATCAACAATTCTAATTTATGATTATTTTGGATCTGGAAACTCCTCCCCAACCTCTGAATTTACAATTGTAATTTATGATTACTTGGGACACTGTTCCCTTTGACTTCCAAGTTTGCATCTGTAATTTATGACTATTTCAGATCTGGAAACTGCTCACCAACATCTGGATCTCCAATGTTAATTTATAATTACTTGGGATCTTTTGGGATCTGGATACTGCTCCCAATATCTGAATTTACAATTGTAATTTATGATTATTTGGGATTTTTTTTTCTAGATACTACTCCTTTTTACTTCTTGGTTTGCATTTGTAATTTATGTCTATTTGGGATTATTTGTATTTTGGATCTGGACCTCTGAATCTGCAATTCTAATTTGGGATTTGAACTTGTATTCTCTTTTATTTCATTTTTTAGCCTAAATGATCTTGACAGTGTCAAGAGGATACCATTGCAAACAATTATAATCCATTATTCACTAGCATTTAGTGCTTGTTTGCTAAGTGACAAAACCCAAGACAATATGAAATATTGAGAAACATGAGTCTTTAACTTACCTGTCAGAGATTGGTCAGTTCCCTTGGGGAAAAGACTTTCTTCATCTAAAAGAGCCAAAAGACCCATCGGTTTCATGAGGAACATATCTAAGACAGGTCGGTTGTCTTCGAAGTCAACCTCCACACCTTCAACACCTTCAGCTTCATACTCTTGCTGAAAGAATAAATACAAAATAAGAAATGTCAGATCTACAAGAAATTTAATTAAAACATGAATTTTTTTAGTCATTTCACCAAGCAAGACAATAAAGTTTATTGTTTTCAGGTATTTTAAAAACCTGTTATTAGGTGCTGGGTGAACTAACTGTTGTAAAATGGAATCTACAAATTGTGTTCAAATTCTATTTAAGATTTTTTGTTTTCACTTTATACTAATGCTCTTGGGTAAAGTTTGAATCCATCTCTACCAATAGATTATCAGGAATTGTTGTCTTACTATCAGATATGAGCTAATAGCAGGGCAGGTAGAGACCTTCAGTTCTGTAAGGCAGTCTTTCTAAGAGAAGGCTATTTTAATAAAAAAAAAACTACAGTACCTTGGATGACTCTGCTCACTGAGTGACAAAAAAGAATGGAAAATCTAAAGAGTGGACTTGGTATGTGCAATCTGATCTTGACTTCAAACAACTAGTGCATTTTGAAAGAGGAGCCTATAGACCATGAAGATCTCTGCCTGATGCTTGTAAAGAAGGAAGAAGCCAATAACAAAACAAAAGCTATTAATTTTATGCCTTAACTAACTACAAAATTGATGATTGTTAATAAAAGAAAAGAAGAAAAGATTAATTAATTTAATGATGACTTACCAGTTCCCATGCAAAGATGTGCTGATTAAAGTAATATTGGATCTGCTCATTGGCAATATTAATACAAAGCTGCTCAAATGAGTTTTTCGGGAAATTTTCGAAACCAAAAATATCCAGAATTCCAATACAGAAGGTGTTGGTGCTGAAATAAATAAAAAAAAACAGTTTGGTTCAAAGCTCCAATCATCTGAAGAAGGCTTGAGTGTACCACAGCCAAAATGTTGTGTATATGGCAATGAAGATGAGGATAACATTCCAGATAATGTAAATAATCATAATACCTCATCTCAGAGATATAGGCAGAAAAATAAACAGCATATAATTACTAAAGAAAATTATTATAACAGTGTAAACAACTTGATGTTTGATAATGACATTTCGTCATTACAGAAATTCAGAGATAAAATCATAATAATATTTCTGCCTTTTGTTTTCTTTGTATTATACAACTGATACATTTTTTTATATATGTTATAAATACTATATGTTTCTGTGTATAAATTTGCTTGTGTCCTATACTAGAAAGATATGAATACATATATGACAGAAACATTGTGATAAATATGGCAACAAAGATGAGTACAATAGTCCAAATAATGTAAATAGTGTTGTAAATAAAGTCTTTATTTTTGCCAATTTTACATGTTTATAACCAATCCATTACATTTTGTTGAATGACTGGATGCAATTTACTGAGTTAAATTAAAATATACTTACACCTCATGTTTTGGTTTCAACTGGATATTAATTTTGTTGACAATCCAGCTGAACAATCGACCATAGAGAGCCTTGGCCATCGCATCACGAGCATCTAAAGCTTCATAACTGGTATTACAACGAATGATCACCTCACCACGAGCAAGAATTCCAGTGGTTGTCATTGCATCATTTAGTTCTTTTGTATCAACCCCTAGAAGTGAAGCCACTGGAAGAAAATAAACAGAAACAAAACTTTTATTAAAATTGAACTTTGTCATCTGTTACAAGAGTTTGCGGACATCTATTATAAGGCTGTTTTAATTTTATTTTTTATTTCATTTTTTTCTATTTTCTATTTCAATAGGAGTAGATGTACTGCTGTACTGTACTGATGCGGCATTCACCCTGGGCGGATTGAGAAGAAGATTCTTGGGATAAATTATGTTATGAGAAGAAGATTCTTGGGATAAATTACAGAAGTAGGGTACCCAGGCCTACTCGGATAACGTTCTTGCTTGCTGCGGGGTTCCCACAGACGCAGAGACAGGAACGACCAGAAGCCGCCGGTTGCCGATGCAGACGCTCCTTGGATTTTCACCAGAGCCCTTGTTAGCCGGCGTATGTGTGTCAGACCTGTCCGCCTTGGGTGGCCCTACCAGGAACGAAGTTCCAGGCGGCATAGCTCTGACACTACCGTTTACACCCCCCCACCGACTGTGAGGTAAGGGTTGGACTTTGGGGGCTTACAGTACCAGGTGTTCCCAAGCGGTCCCCCATCTAAGTACTGACCTGGCTCTACGATGCTTAACTTCGGTGATCGTACGAGAACCGGTGTTTCAGCGTGATTTGACCGTAAGCGTTAGGAGTAGATAGATTCACCTATCATCTGGTTCACACACTTTTAACAGGTTTATCATTTGATTCCTGTTTAAGATTGGATTTCTGGTTCCTTTGAAAATCTTTTTCATTCTCTTTCACTCCCAGTAGCCTCTTGCTTCTTAGTGGCATTATCACCTTGCTTGGGGGTGAATTGACAAAAAGAAAATATATACCTTGCCAATGCTTTAAAACTTTTAAAACATTGGTAGAGTTATACAATAAGCACTGCAGACAGAAATAATCATTTTTTAATTTTTTTTTTCTTTTTTTCAATATTATTATAGATTCAACACTTAAAACAATAAATATAACTTTTATAAAATTCAGTCAGGGTGTCCAGTTTCTTATGTAAATTGATCTACCAATAGAAGCCAAAATAACACATGCTTTATATATATATATATATAAAAAGAATATATATATAAAAAGAAAGAACAGTAAGATATATAATCTGGTGTTCTTATTGGTATTTTTATTTTTGCAAAATAGTGCTCAATGTAAATTTACAGAGCATTAATATTATAAATTAACTGATTTAAAATACGTTTTTTTTCGCTACACAGTATTAACCATGTTTCAAAAATGTTAGCGGAAAGCTTCGAATTTAATTTTGTAATTAATATTGTAATCATATATAATCTTTCTACTTCAATGTCAGCGGAGAATGTCAGCCTGAGAAGGTGCAATCAGTCACTCTCCTGGATGTTAGCATCAGCCATGCTGATGGAAGGCAAAAAGGGTTCTCTCAGATGATTCATAGAAAGCAGTTTTGTTTCATGGGTGTTAAAATTAACAAGCCATTCCTTGCCCCAGTTAACAGTAGATTTTAGGTCACTTCTGAGATCAGCTGTCAATTTGACATATTGTCATATTGAACCAATCTTGTTTATCTTCAGATCTCTACATGAACATTTAGTTACATTTTAAATAATTGAAATCTAAAAGGTGCTGAGTATGATTACCGAAGTTAAACAATGGCAAGCCTGGTCAGTACTATGATGGGTGACTGCTTGGGAATACCAAGTGCTGTAAGCTTGGATATGTGGGTGGTGTAATGAATAATGGCTTGAAATTAGAAATTGGGGAGCCGAGTTCCAATTCCATTTGGGTTCATTATATTCATGTATGTGCAAATACTCTTGAGAAAGGTATGAATCCACATCTTACACCCCTCAGCTATGGGTCAATTAATAGAACTTTTATCCTTAAATCATTATTATCTCCACCCAAAAGTTCTTACAATCTAAAAATATTTTCTGGCTTTAAATAATCTGAAAAAGATTGATAAGCCGTAAAAAACAAATCAATCAATTGTGTCGTGATTTCTTAAAATTAAAAAAATTTTTTTTTAAATATCTTAATCAGGATTACTTAATTGATGGTAATATATGAAATAATCTCTCCAGATTACAAATTTAAAAAATTAAATTAAAAAATATTTTTAAATTTTAAGAAATCACACAGTGTAACTGCTATTATATTAAATGTCTTGACAAATCATACCAAGTCACCAACCACCCAAATATTGATTCTGGTAATTTCCATCCAAATTCTATTGACTGAAATTGATTCTTCATCCCTATAATTGAATTTCTAACAAGAACTTACCATTGTTAACAATTGTATCATCTACTACTGTACATGAATCACTGCCATGTCTTGTCTCTTGGGCAGTGAAATCAATGTTTCCAATATGCAGGATACTTGCGAGAACACAGTAAACTTGGTCCACTTCCTGTAAAACAAAAGATGTGTTGCCTATAGATCAGATCTGTTTATTTGGCTTTGAAATAAAAATGCTTTCATAATATGTGGATAATCATGCAAAATCATAGACTATACTCCATTCTTAATCATGATTATATAGTGTTATATTGTATGGTATAAAACTTATTTCTTATGGTCTTCTACAGATAAAATTTGTTAATCTATAAATATCATATTTATAATGTTAGGTTTGTTTTGTTTAACAGCATATCAACTTATGGGTCACTTAATGCCAAAATTTAATTTTTCTGGGAGCTTTGGCAATTTTTTTTACTATTGAAATCTAATGCTAGAATTTTTTTTCCCTATTAAAATCTATTGCTAGAATTTTGTTTTTTACTATTAAAATCTATTGCTGGAAGTTTTTTTCTATTAAAATTTATTGCTGGAATTTTTTACTATAAAAATGTATTTTTATGCTTTCATAGTGTTTTGACTTCAGTTTGTGGGTTCACTATTTGCTCCTAGCTGGGACCCAACAGGGGCTACTACCCAAGGTCAGGGTGGACCTTAGAATAACAGGAATTAAGAAGTGGTTCCATGTTCTTCAAAACCTCCCAATCAGAGACCTTGCTCTGGATATAGTTTATCGTCATACTGAGGATGAATATTTATAATATAATGCAATATAAAATAAATCAATTTTTATAAACTAATTGAACAAGAAATAATGCATACACATAAAATAGTAATGGTGATGATGACACAAAGTGAAAAAGCTTATAAACAACACGTTTCGCACAGGTCTACTGGTTTCGGCTCCTTCATGTTGGTGAAATGTCTCATTTATAAGCTTTTCCACTTTGTCTCTGCTTTTGTTCCAGATAATTTTATATATACAGATACTATTATATATCCTACAAATACACATAAGATAGTAATATAAAATATACATGTTTTCAAAAAGCTCTTACTGCTGTTGATTAATTTTATGTGTTTGTCATAACCTTTATCAAATTTTAACCATTTTCTGACTAACAAATTAAATATTTCTAGCAATAGCGAGAAAATGATGGTCCAGAATTAAACTTTGCAAATTTTGATCTAGAATTTGTTTTAGTAATTTTTAATACTCACTGTACATATTGTACATTAATTGTAGACAGCTTTACTATAGAACTGCATTAAAATTATTTAAGTATAAAATAAATTGAAAATTATTTTACTATAGAAATGCATTCAAATGCTCATTAAATATTACAGCCTTTGTATGATGATAAACTCCATCTGACAGCAAGGCCTCCATTTGAGAGATTAGAGGTTTTGAGGAGTGTGGAACCACCTTTTTAATTGTTGCTATTCTCAAGTCTATCCTGACTCAGAGTGTTAGTACCTGTTAGGGTCCCAATTATGGGCAAATAGTGACCCCTCCCCAACAAAATTCAAAACATTAGGAAATTATAAAAATACATTTTTATAGTAAAATTACCTGCAATACATTTTTATAGCAAAATAACCAGCAATATGTTTTTGCAGCAAAGTGACCATTAATACATTTTGTAGCAAAATGACTAACAATGCATTTTCATAGAAAAATGACAATCAATACAACAGCAAAAAAGTATAAATATACATTTTTATAGTAAAATTACCAACAATACATTTTTGTAATGAAATTACCAGCAATAAATTAAAAAAAAATATTACTATGAATACCTTTTATCATCTACAAACTATATACTGGAAACAATGGCTAAATTCTCACCATTTTATATTTTTAATTTTGCACATTTTTGATTTTGTCAAATGCACAGTATAGTAAGGTCAGTTGGGCACCATCTGTGAGAAAAAGATCACCATGACACAATTTGCTTCACCAGAAACTTGGAAATGGTATGCTGTACTGCTTGGAATTCATGCCAGAAGCTCCAATATGGACATTTCAGACTGTTTGGTTGTTAATCTGAGAACAGTGCAGAGGATTCAGAAAGAGTTGGATGATATATCTAGTCAACATCCTGGTGTTTGGAGTGATTACCAGTAATGGCAATATTATGCATCCATTAATCTTCTCACAGGGCCTCAGACTCAACACAAAGGCCTACATCAAATGTGTTGAGGAGGTAATGCTGCCCTGGGTTAAGCAGGTAGCTGCTGGAAGACCATATGTCTGGCAACAGGACCCTGCACTATGCCATACAAACAGGAGAACTCAGTCATAGCTGTCAGACAATTTCTATGATCACATCACCCCTTACATCTGATCACCTAACTCTCCAGACTGAAACCCCTTGATTATTATGTATGAGGCACAGTTGAGTGAGAGACCAACAAAGCTCCTTGTAACACCAAAGATGAACTGAAGGCAAGGATTATGGCAGCATTCACCAACTTAAACAAGGAGACTGCCCAGAAAAATTGCAGGAGATTCTGGACTTGTCTAGAGGCTGTGGTTGAAGCCAATGGTGATTTTATTGAATAAATTTACTCTTTAGTATTTCAAAATATTTTTGTGCAATTTGGGTAAATATATCTGTTAAAATGATATATCAGTATTATTTTCATTTTTGTGTAATTTAGACGACAGTTTATCCATCGCACCCTGTATATCTAAAAAACATATGTTTATCTTGAAAGTATAAAATTATGTACAAAATATCTGTAGTTGAAGACATAAAATTGCATTCAAAATATATGAAGCTGAAGTCATAAAATTGTGTACAAAATATTTACATTTCAGCATTAAATAATCCATAAGAGTTGAAATGCTGATAAACAAAACTGAACCAAACTGAACCATCATTATAAAGGATGTTCCAATAACTTGGACCGATTTTAAATGTGAATTAAGTTTAAGCATCTAATGACTTTTTTCTTTTTTTTCCAGATTTAACAATTTAAGTCTTTGGCAATTTCAACCATGGAAAGATTAACAATCAATTAATTCACATTTAATATCAGTCCAAGTTATTGGAACACCCTTTATATTAAATTTTTCTGCTTCTGACCTTAAATTTGTTTTGACAAATTTTAGTACTCAATTTGTATATTGTACATTAATTACAAAGAGTTTTATTATAGAGATACATTAAAATGATTTAATTATAAAAATGCACTGACAATTATTTAACTAAAAAAATGCATTCAAAATGCTCATTATACATTGAATTTTGCTAGTCTTGATCCCAGATTAGTTTTGGTAGGTTTTAGCCATTGTTCTTTGTTAAGCAATGAAAATTAAGAAGAAAAGGATTGTCAGTAGTCAGGAAGTAATACAATCTTAACAGACAGACTGAACAAGTATATTATATATATTATTATATTGTTTGCCAAAAAGAAATGCAAGACAAATAAAATAATCAAACTTACTTCAGGAGTGAAGCCAATGATATCAAAACATTGTTCGATTGTTTGGAATTTTGAAGCAGCCGCAGCCATGCTGTGAGAATCACGCATATACTGACTGATATATCTAGGAAAACAAATGACATTTAGTAGATTATTAAATGTGAACTTGTTCAAAATGGGTGTTTTACTGATTGATACATTTAAATAAAACTAGCTGAATACCCATTCTACACACAGAGAAAATTAAGTTGCAATAGAAGCCTCTTAAACCTCTAATATTTCTGCATAAATAACATTTTCAGCAAAAGATTTTTGATTTTAAAATCTTAATTATGAATTTTAATAGGAGCGAATAGGTTCACCTATTATCTGGTTCAGACTCCGCACCAGTCTTTTAAACAGGAGTAGATGTTTATCCTTTGTTATTGATGTAATGGAATAACCTGTCACCCCCATGAGTGACTACACTATAGGTAGTAGCTACCTATAAGTATCTGTAATAAACAGACTACAGAATCTAACTGGGATCTGTTGAGTACGTCGCAGACTTACGAGAGAACTACTGACCTTCAAATAGTAACACTCACTACTGGATTGACTTGTGACGACCTTGTGCATAACTGTTACCTTTATTCTTATTGTACTGTTTTTTTACAATAAACCTTTACTTATTTTACCCACTGTGTTGTTCAAATATATATTCCTATTAACATGGAACATAACAGTTTTCTGTTTAGGAATAGGGTTTCCAATTCCTTCTAAAATCTATTCAACTCTATACTTCAAACATCACCACCTAAACTCTGAAATTTTATTAACTTTGCATCTTAGTAGCATTATCACCTTGCTTGGGGTGAATTGATTGAAAAAGAAAAAAAAGAAGACATTTATTATCTAAAGTTCTTTTTATCATTATGCTAAGTTCACTTGAATTTCCTACTCTAGAAATAGTTACTTAATGCTGACTCTGAGAAAAAACATTTGAATAATTTTTTAATGTTTGTAAAAATAATAATAATAATAATTTTTTTATTTATTGATAGTTCACCCAATACAAGGCCCAAGGGCCACTCAAAGTAGAGGATTACTGAAGGCAATCATAAGAAAAGAGGGAGTAAGTGTATTATGAGTACGAGTAGGATAGATATCAGTTGACCCTAATTTTAAAGAGACCAAAATTATAGTTGTCAGGGAAGCATTCTCTCAGGAGTTTCTTCCACAAAGTAACAGTTCTAGGAAAGAAACTTGCTTTTTATCAAAGGGAATAACACAGAGGGCATTGGAATGGTTTGCCATTGTGAACACAGCATGTTGGTTCCTAGCTACGAAAGAATGTATCTTGTCTAAACCCCTGCCGTATTAATAGCAATTTAGTAGTGAAAGGCGAGTCAGTTATGTGCCATGCATGATACATGCTTAAGCGATCATGTATCTTTCAATACATGACTGATGAGGCAAATTTTTTTCTCGCAGGAGGTTGCCATTTCTTTTTGCGGTAGACTAGTTACCATCCATCCAAGGGTATAGAACCTGGTCTGTCCTGCTATTTACCCATAGCTGGGGGTGGGAGAAAGAAGAGGATTCATACCTTTCCCAAAGGTATTAGCACGTAAGTGAATGTAATGGATTTGACTGAAATTTGAACTCGGCTCTCTGATTCCTCAATCTGAGCTGCTATTCATTACTCCACTGTAATGTTTAAAAAAAAAAAGGTGTCTCCAGCAGCTGGCTATTACATAACATTTCATGTGTGCATAAGGACACAATCTTCAGGCAGCCCAATATATATATATATATATATATATATATATACAAGGATCATTTATTTTACATTCAACATCATCACTTGATAAGACACTGGAGGTGTTGAAACAAAATGGCTATTTTTGTAGTGATTTTATAACATATTTATGTTATAATTTTTAAATAAATAATTATATATATATATATATATATATGGGGAAAAATGTATGACAAAGTGGAAAAAGTTTTCTTGTGACATGTTTCATCCTTTAGCACTTCATTGGACTAAATTTGTTGGTGAAACTACACACACACACACGAACAAGGGATGCTGGGAATTAATTTTTTTTTTAATCTAGCCAATTTCATTTAGATTCTTTTTTTTTTCTTTCCATCATTATTGTTAGTAGATATCACAAACTGTGATAATAGAAGATCTGCCAGGGATGGTGAAATGTTGTAAGAGTCCTCACGCAAATTTACTGTAGATGACCTTGTGATCAAGGCACTTTCTAGACATTTTTGTCGCAGTGAATTGTTTTTTCCTTTGATCAGAATAACATTTTATGTCAAAATTGTGGTCAGTCTTATTATGGTGAGCAACCAAAGCATTTGATGTATTGTTTTGTAAAATGTCTTGTTTGTGTTCATATAATCTTTTATTTAGATTCTTTGAGGTTTCTCATACATATGTGTGTGTGTGTGTGTGTGTGTGTTTTGACCTACAAGGGAAGCATTTCTGATCAAGTGTGTGGGCTGCTTCTTTGTCATGCAGAGTTGTCCACCAAAATGAAATTTATGTGAACGGCCTTGTCAAACTCTCTTTGACTATTCTTCAGGAGTAGGCTGGACCTATGCAGCCATTTCCACCATTAGAAGGGGGAAAGGAAATAAGGAGAGAGGATAAGGATCCTGATAAGCAGATGCAGGCGACTACTATATATGTCTACACTGTTTATATATAAATATTGTTTTTATTCTTAGATTACAGATTTTTTTTTACTTATCCACATGAAAAAAAAAATTTAATTTAAAAAATTTGAAACATAGAAAATAATCTACTTACCTAAAACTTTGAGTTGACTTAAGGAAATAATTGTCATCTGGCATGCCGGTCAGACCAGCCAAAATGTAGTAAAAGATATGAAAACTTTGTTCCCCACTGAAAAAAAGAAATTTAAATAAATAAATAAACAAAAATAAATAAAATAACAAGTTAAAAACATGTTGGCTCCCAAACCTTATTTCCGTTGTTCCAAGGTCCCAACACTTTTGGTACAAGTGACTTTGTTTTAACATTTTTTCATATATGAGACAAGGATATCATAGGTAGTATTTATTACCCACAACCCACCAGTGTGTTGTTTAGTATCTGATTACATTTTAAACCCACATGAATGCATGGTAAAGCTCTATGTATGTAAAAATTGAAAAGAATGACTAAAAAGACAACAGTAGAAATTCCCAAAAGAAAATAAAAAAAAAAGACAAAAAAAAAATTTAAATATTTTTGAAAAAAATGTGGTTCTGGTATACCATGATCTCATAAGCAATCATAGCATCCCACTCACAATAATCTTCAAAGAAAAGAAATTGGAAAATGACCTACCAGAGGGTCGTGTGAGCTTTACAGACATAGTATCAACAGTGGGTCATGTGGGAGCCAATGTGTTAAAGGAAAGTTTGTTGAAAAAAGAAAACTTAGTTTTAATGTATATATTATATTTAAGAGATATTTTTTTCTCTAAAATTGTTGAATAACTTGCAAAATATATGAATTAAGAATATATCCAATAATTTCTTATATTATAAGATTAGTATTATAATTGCACAAGATGTCCCCCAAAAATAGACATCATTTAAAATGTGAATATCTGAGTAACTACATGTCCCAGGAAAATCTAAATTAAATAGGCTTCCTGTTGAACAATAAAAAAAATTTATTTATCAAAATTCAAACAAAGTATTCAAAGGGATGTAGATTTTATAACACATTTCACGAAGTTTCACAAATGTTCAATAAGGGCAACATCTCTGGCATGACACGCCAAGTCAGTAATCCAGCTCCCGCAAAATATGCTGTAGCATGTCTAGCATAACATCTTCCAGAGCCTCAGCAATTCTATGCTTAAGTTCCTCTAGGCTTGTAGAAAGAGGAATGATATAGAACCACAAGGTGAATATGGTGGTCATTTTAACAGCACATTGTCATTATCATTGGCACACCTGATCCATCTTCCTGGTAGATTCTCATTGAGATAAACCTGCACTTCATTTACCTGGGACATGTAGTTACTCAGATATTCACATTTTAAATGATGTCAGTTGTTTGGGATGACCTGTATATTTATTATACTATAAAAATGACTTACGGGGCTTGTTGAATAATTCTGGACTTCTCCAGAAGATACTCAGTAATGCGAGCTGTAAAATGAGAAAAGCAAAACAACTATAATAATGCGATGATATTTTGTCACTATGTCATGTAAGACAATTTTTCTTACCCGAGGTCTATCTTGGACATTTATAAGTTTACTATTCATCCATGTATGAAATATTATTGCCATATCTGGTCTAGTGTTTCTTCTATGTATCTAGAGAATACTGACAAAATCCAAAGAATCTGTAATGTTTTTGGTATTGATCTGGTATCTCAGGTTCAGTCCCTATCTTCCCTTTGCCTCTTCTATAAATATTTTCATGGTGATTGTTCCCATGAGCTTTACTCTTTGATACCTTGACTTCCTCAATTTAAGTGTACTATTAGATTAGCAGCTAGGTCTCATAATTAGTGTACTATTAGATTAGTAGCTAGGTCTCATAATTTCAATGTTGAATTTGCTAACTGTAAGTACTATACAAGTTGTTTTTTCTCATGCACTTCTCATTTTTGAAAGTCACTTCTGGCCTTTTGTTTTCCTTTCAACTACGATCTTCAAAAATTTAATTGCAATGTCAATCATTATCTTCTGCCTCCTTGCATCCTGCTCCTTTATTGTTCTCTCTGTTTCTTTCACTCTCAATAATCCTCCTTGCATCTTGTGGCTTTATTACCTTGTTTGGGAGGAAATGATTAAAAACAAAATGTACATAATATTGTGTCTGCTTATAATATGATTTGTAATATTATATGATGTTAATATACATTAAAAAGTTTAAATGAAAATATTACTTTGAATATATGCTCTTTAGCACTAGAGGGCATTGTCAGTGATGTTCTGAATTGGATCACTGGGCAGTCAACCTTATCAGAGCTGATCAGTCTCTGATCCGCTCTCTAAATTAACAGCCTGCAGACACTGACTTATATTAAACCATAACCTGCTATCATGCATTTGATTGGAAGTTGACCAACAGCCAATCACAATGGTGTGAGCTCTATTTAAATTGTTTATGGGGGATTTTTTCTTTTTTTTTTATGTGGATACCCTATCATCAGATACTCGGAAGGTAATTAAATGTTTTCCTTTCTTTTTTTTTCCTTTTCTCTCCCCTTCCTTTTTTTACCCTTCATTAAATTAGTAATAATAAAAATTTCTTAATGTTAATAATTACCATATTTAAATGGTATATAGGTCCCAATTTTTTTCTCACAAAACCTTTTAATTACTTCACTACAAGCAAGGTGATAAAGCTACTAAGATGCTGGAGGGTCATTGAGAGTGAAAAAAACCGAGAAAAGATTATGTGAGGAGAATGGACAATAAAAGAACAGGTTTCACAATGCATGAAATTATTTAAACAACTCTGAAGTAATTAATTTCATAAAAACTGCTATGTTGAATTACAAAAGACAACTAGAAAAGAGCTAATTAAAACGAAGCAAATTAAAAAGAAAGAACTTAAACAAAACAAAGAAAGTACAAAAACAAACAGCAAAAAAAAGAAAGCAAGAAAAAATAATAACAAAAACAAAACAATAATAAAACCAAACAGCAGAAATAAAGCAAAATAAAAAATAAAAAAGCAAAAATAAACAGAACAAAAATACACAAAACAAAAAAAACATGAACAAATATAAAATCAATAACTATAATAATCTCAAAAAAAAAAAAAAGAAAAATTAACTTTTAGTAAAGAAATCAAAATATTTAAACTTTATAAATTTTAGAATCTATGATATACAAATTTTGAAAAGAGAAGTTAAAGTGAATAAATTTATATTGCTTATCAATATCTCTGGAAGATTTTTCTTAATGATCAAGTCTTTCCTAACAGGTTGGGTCATTGATAATTGCCAGTCTTCTGAAATCCATGAACCCCAAGAATTTAGCTTTGGAAAATGCTTTCTCAGTCCTACTCTCTTTCTGCTTCATATTAATAAATGCCTAAAACCATACTCAGATCCCTAGCAAATATCTATGTAGATGATACAATAGTGTATGGATGCACCTCCCAAAACCTAGAAGACCAGAGACTGGAAGTTGATCTTTCATCTGATACAGAACTAACAGCTCAGTGGAGGAAAAACTAGCTTGTAGCATTCAATACAATCAAAACCAAACTATAAGCATTTTAGCATCACCAAGCCGACCCTGAGTTTTTGCCTATCTTAATAAATGATTGTTCTCTTAAGGAAGCTCCTTTCCTTGAATGTCTTTTTAGGACTCAACCAAGTTAAACTCATATATATGAACTGTTGCTAAAGATGCTGGAAAAATAATCAGTTCTTTGTACCAGCTGCAAGAGTGATCAGATCAAAAATGATGTATTGTTGCCATATCTGAACTGAAGCTGCTCCTGGGCGATGAATTATTTTCCACTCTACAACCCCTATCCCACAGATGAAGTTGTTGTAAGCCTCTTTAGCATCCTGCTACCACTTTCTTATCAATGTTGAATTTTGTACAAATCTGTGCAAAAAGTGGATCAAAGAGCTTACCCAACTTCATACATATTTTCAGGAAACCTCAGATTCTAATTGGTCAATAAACACACAAGTGGGCATTGCAATCCACCCATGTACAAGTTTTTTCCAGTGTGTGACTAAGTCAAGTTTTCTCACTATTTTTCTAGAATCCTGTCACATGGTTACATTAATTATAAATAGCAGACATGAGTTTGTTCTTTATCTTCCTTCCTTATTTCTCTTGCTACAAGATGTTGTTGTAAAAAGGATTTGTGTCTTGACCATGTGCGGTCAGACGCTTATAAAAACATATTCACGCATGCATGTATGTAAGAAATTTTCCAAACTACATTACAAACATGTGAAACATTTCCAAACCAGCAACAAGAACTTTTCTCTTTGAAATACTCTTCTAAAGCTAAAAGTTTATTCAGCATTTCTCAGCTTTATAACTCTTTCAACTTTTGTGAGCTTGGATAAAAATATTTCAATTTCATTAGTAAAAACTTTAATTCAGTCGAAGGGACATAACACCAACAAAACAGTAACCTCTTCTTGTGTACATCATTATACAAATATAAATCTTGTTATAAAACTGTTTGTGTTCTTTCTTGTTGTTTCATATTTGGTAGTATTTTCTGTTAACTATAAATCTCGAGGTCATATCATTTAACAGCCCTCTACACCTCTCACTACTCTTATTTTCATGGAAAATGTTCTGACAAGTTACATTCCTTAGTTTCTCTAATTCTAACCTTCACAGCTAAGACCCACTATGTCACATACACTGGAATGAATCATCCCCACTCCTTTCATATTCTCTTAGTAAGAAGGAAGTTCCATTTGGACAGCTTTTTCTCAAAAACATCAGAATGTTTCTCTAATCACAACAATCTTAACCTCTCTAAGTCGAGAGTTAACTATTATCTTTCCTACATATAATCATAAACTACACTCCTTACATCCTCCTCAATCAGTAATCACCTACCATAAGTGGTTCTTGAGCCTTTTATTGAGTGAACAATTAGTAGAAAAAATAGGCTTATTGAATACTGAGACATAATGAAGGAAATACAAATAAAATTTAAATGTTTTATTTTTTATCCAATGTCTATATTATAATGATTTGACTTTCAAGTTTTTGTGTTTGCTAAACTGCACTTTGTAGTTCAATTTTTATTCGTGCAATAGTATTATTATAAAAATAAAATGTTCTAACTTAGACAATGAAAGAATTTTCAATCTAATCTGGATACCAGTTTACAAGTAATCTTTAATAATTTATATTTTAAAAAAATATTTTTGTCACCAATTTTATGATATTTTTTGTTGCTCTGCCCAGGATAGGGATTGTCCAGACTGAGTTGGAAAGAAATGTATTATGTCATAGGAAAAGAAACACGGGGTTACAAAAATCTCATAACCTTCGAGACAAATACACACACAAGTTTAATAAAATTGAAATGAACATCTGTGTCGTAACTTTCTATCTGGCAACAATTCCTTTTTAAAGTCATTTTTATGATTTAAAACCGAATATATTTTCTAATAAATGTAGTATTTCAAATGGACAAACAGTTTAGATTTGAAGTTTGATCATCTTGCAGCCAGCAAAGTGACAGTGGTTTTATGATTGTGGGATGAAAAGTTTTATTTTTCAAAATAACAATGTTTTTAAATTATCTACATGAAAGTTAAATATCATAAATGTTTTAAATTGTAATCAAAATTAAATCATCATCACCAACTGAAACAAACTGGCAATTTTCTCTCGTCTTCCTTAAAATGATTATAAAATAAAAACCTGTGAATTTTAATTTAAAGTTTGTATTAATTCAGGACAAACATTCTCGTTAAAAATATTAGTATTGTAAATAACATTATTTTTTTAAATTCTACACATTGTTATAAAATAAAACAAGAACTGTATTAAATATTTTTAAAGCAGTTTTATCATTGAATAAAAATGTATTTATTTATTTTTATCTAACATACCTCCCATGACGCTTCCAATGTTGTTGAATATCATATCAATGTATTTTCCAAAACGACTGGAATTATCATTAATAACAGTTCTGGAATTTCCAAATGCCTCCATTAAAGGATTGGCTTGGAGAATTTTCTGCTCTAAGGATTTGTCAGGAGCCTGAAAATGCAAACAAAACTTTATGCTTTCTCAATATGAGGCAAACAAAATAATTTACTTAATGACAATATTAATAGATAATTTAATTATAATATATCCTTGTATTAAAATTAAATCATATTAAAATCCATAAAAATTATCAATGACGAGATTTTAATCAGAGTTTAGGCTGAAAACAGCTTATTGTGCTGCAAATATACAGTAAGAAGCTATGTGCCTTCAGAATATGTGTGATCATGGCTCTCCACAACTTCCTATCTTTTGTAGCTTTTTTTCTGATCCTAATCTCAAGTGTTCTTTCTGTTCCTATTTTCCTTAAATGCTGTTGCTCATATGCTCCATCCATCATATTCTCAGCATTCTTCTGTGGAGCCAAATCTCTGTTGCCTCAAGTCTCCTCTTTGTGAGGAGATTGTCCAGTATTCCCTATCATACAGGAGGATTTATATTATGTAACATTCAATACACTTTTCTTTGTTTCTAATGGAAGTATGATTGTTAATGTGTTATAGGTTTTGGAAGGCATCTTTTGCTTTTCCATTGTGTTTTTTGCTATCTGTTAGAACACGTCTGAGATATTTAAATTTCTGTACCTTCTTGATTTTGAACTCTCCATATCATAGTTTACATCTTGGACTATTCCTCTTACTGGCAACTAAACATGCTGTCTTCTTTGGTTTGTTTTTTTTTCTCTCTCTGTACCATGTTTTTTTAGGATGTGGAAGATCATGTCTCTCCACAACTTTGCATCGCAGCAATATTTGCTCTTTTATGATCCCTTTTGTTTTGTGACACTTGTTCTTTCATCCATTTTCTCAAACTTGTCAGGTAGGTTACATCTCTTTCTCTCTAATCACGGTTCTCCACAGCTTACTATCTTAAGTTGCTTTCAGGAATATTTGCTCCTTTATGATCCTTCTTTGAATTTGTGATACTTGTTCTTCCATCCATTTTCTCAAATTTGTCTAGTAGGTGACTTGCTGCTTTTCAATGTGGGTGTTAAATTCTTCAAACCCTCTTTCCTTGTTATGTGTCTCCAAAATTTAAGCAGAAGTTGTTAGCTGAAACTTCTTTGTAATTCCTATTTTCCTTAGAACTTACACATTTGTCATATGCTCTGTTCATGATATTCTCAACATTTGAGAACATTAATTCTTAACATTAGAGAATTTAACAAAGTCAAAAAAAGCAATCAATTTATTTGCTTTTCACATACCTGACCAAGGTTGGTGAGCTGCTGCAACAAATAGTTGGCACTCTCTGTTTTCCCTGATCCAGATTCTCCACTGATGACAATGCACTGTCAATGAAAGAATTTGTTATTGAGTCCAGATAAAAATAAAATATAGAAACAAAAGTAAAGAGAATTCAAATTAAAATAAGGCACTTGTTCTTTCCTTTAAAACCCTTAACACTTTCTTTCGCTCTCTCTCTAAACTTCTCTTTTTATACTTCTCTTTCAACTAATGAGAAGGCAACCCTCACATAAAAAGAGGAAGAAAAAAGAAAAAAGAATTCAAATTAAAATAAGGCATTTGTGCTTTCCTTTAAAACCCTTATCACTTTCTTTCTCTCTCTCTCTAAACTTCTTTTTTATACTTCTCTTTCAACTAATGAGAAGGCAACCCTCACATAAAAAAGAGGAAGAAAAAAGAAGAAAAGAATTCAAATTAAAATAAGGCATTTGTTCTTTCCTTTAAAACCCTTAACACTTTCTTTCGCTCTCTCTCTAAACTTCTCTTTTTATACTTCTCTTTCAACTAATGAGAAGGCAACCCTCACATAAAAAGAGGAAGAAAAAGAAGAAAAAGAATTCAAATTAAAATAAGGCATTTGTGCTTTCCTTTAAAACCCTTATCACTTTCTTTCTCTCTCTCTCTAAACTTCTCTTTTTATACTTCTCTTTCAACTAATGAGAAGGCAACCCTCACATAAAAAGAGGAAGAAAAAGAAGAAAAAGAATTCAAATTAAAATAAGGCATTTGTTCTTTCCTTTAAAACCCTTATCACTTTCTTTCTCTCTCTCTCCAAACTTCTCTTTTTATACTTCTCTTTCAACTAACGAGAAGGCAACCCTCACATAAAAAGAGGAAGAAAAAGAAGAAAAAGAATTCAAATTAAAATAAGACATTTGTTCTTTCCTTTAAAACCCTTATCACTTTCTTTCTCTCTCTCTCTCTAAACTTCTCTTTTTATACTTCTCTTTCAACTAACGAGAAGGCAACCCTCAGGTAAAAGAGGAAGAAGAAAAGACTGAACCTGGCCTAAAACAATTTTGCAGCAACAAATGTTACTTATTTGTGACTGAAAAATACCAAAAATTAGGGAGGCTACACCCATAACTTCCATTATAAAAAAAAAAAAATCAAAAAGAAAGGAATGTTAGAAAATAAAATAATTTTGGCCAATCAAAAAATTGACACAAAGAGACTTTTAATGTTAGCTGAAATCACTGTTTGTACCAGAATTTGAACTCAGCCTGACAATTCTATTTTCTCTACTGAAAACCATTGTGATATGTACACCTAACTTAATGTAATTATAATCACTAGAATTACCCATGAAAATTTCAGTTTTCCAATTTGAATTTTCCGAAGAATCTTAACTCTTAAGGTAATAACTGAATAGGGTTATGGAGAATTCTACAATAATAAATTAGATCCCACCCTTTGGAGGCACGGTGGAGTAATGGATAGTGGCTTGGATTGAGGAATCGGAGAGCCGAGTTCAAATTCCATTCGAATCCATTACATTCACTTACATGCTAATACCCTTAGGAAAGGTGTGAATCCTCTTCTTCTCCCTCCAGCTATGGGTAAATAGCAGGACAGACTGGGTTCTATAGCTATGGATGGCAACTGGTCTAGGAGAAGGAACACTCTGAATTCAAAACCTGCGGAGGGTTGTTTGGGGACCTTGTGGCATGTAGTGCATCAGGTCTCTGTAATTGGCCCTACAAAAAGTGTGGATGGTCCTGCACAAAACCTTCATCACTATAATCAAATCTCATGTGCTATACATGCGGGTTTGGGGACCACTTGTGAATTCCAAATTCCCATGAAACTCCAATATTGGAGCCGGCTCAACCCACCCTGGGTGAATGCCATTACAAGTACAGTAGTAGTACCCTTTTAATGTTGAAATAGCTAAGTGTGACCACCACTTCTACTCCAACAGTTTCTTTTCTTGCACTTCCCACCTGGGGAACTCCCTTCTGTTTACTTGTTTCTCTGATAACTACAATCTTCAAAAATTTAAATGCAACATCAATTGCTATCTTCTGGATTCTTGAATCCCCTTCATCTTTAGCCTTTCCTCATTTGTTCTTATTCTCAGTCTTCCCTTTCATTTCCTGTAAACCTCTGCATACTAGTGGCATTCCTGCCTTGCTTGGGGTGAAATGATTAAAAAAAAAACATTAGAAATTCCCCTATTGCATCATTATATATTTGAGCTTAAGAACTTTAACAAAATATTGCAATAACAATCATAAATATGAATGCTGGTCATTATTTTAAGAAGTGGGTACAAATAAAAACAATTGAAATTGACAACTTTTTCCCTTTCACTGAAACAACCATTAAACACTTCTTTCTTTCTTTCTTTCTTTCTTTTTCTCACTGAAACCAAGTAGCTTCTCTGATATGTGTTTTGTTTTTCCATGTCATCAAAATGGAATAGTCTATTATTTATGAGCTATTTACAGGAGACGTTAAACACTTTTATCTTCCTTTCTTTCTTTATTTGATTTTCTTACTGAAACCAAGTAGCATTTCTGATATGTCTTTTTTGCTTTCCTGTGTGATCAAAATAGAACAGTCCATTATTTATGAGATATTGGCAGGGTGTAATGGCTGTGCTAAGGGACAAGTAGAATTTATAATCATGTTATTATTACATTGCATTTTCTTGCTGAAGTATAAAACTATTTTCTTATATGTATATTTAGCAATGTGTGTTAGAACAACACATGTTTCATTAAAGTGTTCTGATCATTCTGAAGCAATTTGAATGACTTGTCTTTTAAGGTTATTTAAGTTTCTTACCTGATTCATTTGGAGATGTAGCATGGAATGGAATGACTGGTCAGCTACTCCAAATATATGAGGTGGCAGTGCCCCTTTGTTCATATTGGTGTATTGTTCCTGAAACTGAAAAATACAAATTATTTACATAAAGTTTCTTGCTTGAATCAACCTCCAAAAAATTCACAAGACTTGGTCATAGGCAAAACAGTCTTGTCTTCAAATATTCTGAAGCTAATTTGTTTTTTTTAGTTTTTTTTGTACAGGTATACCTTAAATATATTTTAAATCTGGTTTCAATGCAATTAAAGTGAATTACACAATTTTTGGACTTTCTTAGTGCATATAAAAATAATTTTTATATTACAATATACTTTATTAAGTGTGTAAAAGAATTGTCTAAAAAGCAAAATATGTATATACTAGTGATGGGACGATTAATCAAAATCAAGAATTGGGGATATTGGAACTTTTTGGGGTATTGGAATCAGAGAATTTTTAACCTAATTTCTGATTTCAAAACCAATTATTTAGATTTGTGTTTGTTTAAAACTTAATTTTTCATTCCTGGTAGCAATGATAAAAAGATATAAATATTTATTGATTTTAAACTCTCATTAAAATTAAAATCTATAGATTATAATAACACTTAAGATGAGTATGATGTACAAAAAATGAAATGTGCAAGTTTCCACTCAGTTCTTGAACTTTTCATAAAGTTCAATAGTTTAAATTCTGTTTCAGTTCAAAATAAAATTTTTATTTTTAATTTTTTTATAAAAATTGTTAATTCACCTATTTACTATTATAAATTATTAATTTAATAATTATAATCAAAATTATGTAATATAAACACGAAATGAATTCACATTGTTGTTTTGCCAGGCTCTCTTTTAAGACAAATTTTATTAATTTCTTTTAATTTATAAAAAAAGAAAAAAATGAATGTATGGAATTCGTACCAATGTCACATTTGATTTCTTCACATAAAAATTGACTTTGTATCACAAATTGTTCTCATAGTGAGGCAGTTAAATTACAACAATTTGTTTTTATTATGGTTTTAATCCATAAAATCATTTTTTAGTTTTGGTTATTGAAAAGATTTATGTAAACAAAAATAAATCTTCTTTATATATAACCCTACAATTCATAAAAATGCATATCAGCAAAACGCAATAAAACAAGATATGCCTGTATAATAGATGCAAAAGAGGTCTCAGATCACATGCAGACATGTTTGTCAAAACCAATTACATCCAGGTTTTTCCAGTTAGCAGCAGGATAGATTGGCATGTCTAGATACGGGTCTCTTTGCAACTGGTCAAGATCTGGTTCTTTGTAAGATACCTCATGCCAATAAAAACAGGGGGAAAACCAGCAGTTAGCAAGACATGGCAGTCCCATGGACATCTTTGCTCCTCAAGTTTCTCTCTGTCTATTACTCCTGTAGTTGCTGAGAGAATTAGGTGTTCCCTATCCCAACCTCAACACACTCTTGCTGTACATTATTAAATCCTGTATATATGCATACTTGTTCATTTTATCTGTTCAACTAAAGAAAATTTCTCCTCAGTAGACCTAGCATAAAAATGATTACCATATGGAAACTATTAATAAAAATCCCTGTTACAGATACCTGCTCAGACACATTTGTGTTAGTTCAATACCCATAAAACCAATCTGTGATTTATACTGCAGCTATGTGGAGCAAATCTTATTAAGAATTTCTGGGAGTGAGTGCAACATTTGGCATGATCAAAAGTTTGAATAAGGCCAGTACACTTGAATCCTTGGCCATGATGATTTGTGCCTTTAGACTAGCACAACCATCTATGGTTTCTGAACAGTTTCTTCTACCCAATTTCATTCACAAGACTTTTGTGTCAACCAGTGGTCTAGTTTCCAGACACTTTCCAATTGTGCAGCTCACTGGAATTGCCTCCCCTGGTTGATAACATCAAGAAGTTACCTCCCTGGCAAATTGAACATGGTGAGATTTGAATCCAGGTCTCATCATCACAAAGTAAATACTCTAAACATTTTGGCCATTTTTGTTTGTATTTGTATAAAAAAGGCACTTAAACACTTCTTTATTTCAGAAAAAACTCAGACATCATTAATTTTTTTTTTACTAATGTTAACCCAATACTAAGCCAGAGAGTATCTCAAGGTAGAGTGTTACTGAATGATGTTGTTGCATAAGCATAAGAAGAGAAGGTCAGAAATGCAGTTAATGAGGTTATGTAGGAGAGATAATGGTTAACCGTTCTTCTATTCTTCTCTATCTTGAGACGTAATATGGTATGAAGAGTTGGATTTGCTGGTTATGATCCTTTTTAGTTGCTTTCACACTTTCATTTTAAGCATGATTCAGTACTAATGGTTATAACTCATACTAGCAACTACAGTATTCAGATAACTGGAATTGGTTGATCGATACTGTTGTAGTTAACTGTGCTATTTATCATCTGGCACCAATCACGGTATATCAAGCTGATGGTACCAGAGTCTGTTGATGCTTTCAAGAGGAGAGCTGCTACTGCTCCTACCCATTGACATGTCTGGCTAGATTGGACCTGCCAGAAATAAACTCCTGCCAGCATAGTTCTCCAGATTATAGGAGCATGCAAACCACTTCACCATATCAAAGAACTTAATCAGGAAGTGGCACTGTGGGAAAATGAAATAAAACCAATAAATAATATAAGAATAATGAATAAAGAAAGAAATACATTTTCCCATGATACTAAGAGTAAAAGAACCAAAAATATTTCACCAAACATTATCAGGTGGCATTGTCTATAAAATGGTAAACATTTCCTGTTTCACACTTTTTCTCCTTTTTGCTCCAAGATGTAGCACAACATGGTAATTACATTTCCACTGAGGAATGTTAGTTTCCCTGTCTGCTGATGATTGAACTCTCTTCCACACTTTCCAATGTATGGTGCTCGCATGTCTTTTTCCAAAACTTCAGCCTATGAAATAAATCAAGTGTTCTCTTTGGTTGTTCCAGCTCAGCACAAAGCTGACTTGAGCATGATCATCGTAATGATGCTTACCAAGACAAAGAAAATGGATATATCTAAGAGACATTGAGAACTTTGTTTCACTATAGTTTATATAAACAAGAAAATAAACGGTTTGTGGTAAAAACCAAAGTTTTTGTATGCTTCTTCTTTGTTTATTATATGTGAATACGCACTCACTTAAAATACTCATGAACAAGCAACCTTTTAAATACCATAGCACTAAAACTCAATAAAAGTTAATAAATGTGTGGCAAAGAGTGTGAGACCCTAGCTGGGCCCAAAAGCCACATTCATGATATGCACTGGGGAAACTAAACAATAATCAAGCTAATGGCTATAGTTGAAAAAGAGAAGCAGTTGTTGTTTATACATATACATTGGTGTTTTTATATGTGTACTTGCTCCTCTGTATATCCTACTGGGAACACAAAACCAATGACTATGGAGCAAGGTCAAAAGTTTTGTAAGCTGACAGGAATCTGTCCTCATAACTATTAAATGTCAGAAGATGTCATTGTTTGGTCACATTACATGGCATAGCAGCCTCTGCAAGACCATCATGCAAGGTACTGTTGAAGGCAGATGCAAGCAGAGATGGTAACGCAAAAGCTGGTCAGACAATATTAAAGAATGGCTGGACATGACAATGCTGGAACACCTGAGAGTCACTGCCAATAGATCATCCTAGAGGAGGCTACCTGTTTCTTTTGCAGTCAAGGGACTGATGATGATGACTTGGTCAAAGTAAACCTTGGGAAAGATATGAATCTTGGTTAAAGTGAATCATATTTAAAAAAAAAAACACTTTCTTAAAATAAAGCCATCTGAGGTTGCAAGTATTGTTTAGAAATGAATAGATTTACCTGCTCATTGTAAATAGGTAGGGGCTTAAATGGGTTCACAGCCATCATAATATCTCCAATGTATGTATAAATGATCCCATGCTGGTAACGTTGCTCAAGTTGTTGCACTATAATATCCTGGAGAATAGAGAAAAATGATCAAATTAAAAGATGATGAAAAATGAAAATAGAATGCAAGAATGAGAAAAACAAATAAAAATAAAAAAATAGAAGAGGAAAAAGAGAAGATAAAGGAGAAAAAGACAAGAAAATAAAAATGAAAAAGAAGAGAAAATGAAAAAGATAAAAAACAATAAAACAGATAAAAGGAAAAAGAAAGAGAAAAAGAAAAGATAAAATGAAAAAAAAATAGTTTTTTTCTATTTCTCTTTTTTCACTATTTCTTTTATCTTTTTTATCTTTTCTTTTTTAGAAAAGATAAAAACTAAAAAGAAATAGAGAAAAAGATAAAAACTAAAAAGAAATAGAGAAAAAGAAAATATAAAAAGGAAAAAGAAATAGAAAAAAGATAAAGAAAAAATAGAGAAAAAGAAAAAATAAGAGGAAAAAAGAAATAGAAAAAGATAAAAAGAAAAAAGAAATAGTCAAAAAGATAAAAGAAAAAAGAAATAGAGAAAAAAGATAAAAGGGAATAGAGAAAAAGAAAAGATCAAACAAGAAGAATAGATAAAAAACAGATTAAACTGAAAAATGATGACAATCTAACTTCAGAAAAGAATTCAACCGCCCCCCCCTAAAAAAAAAATAAGCAAGAACAGAAGAAACAAACAAAAAAGGAAAATAGAAAACAAACAAACAAAAACATAGAGAAAAAAAAAAAATTGTAAATTTAATCTCAGAAATCTTTTTTGGGATGAGATTTTCATCACTTTCCAATTTTTAGTTTTTCTTTTTTTGTTTGTTTCCAGACAAAAAAAGAAAATGAAAAAAAAAAAAAAAAAAAGTAAGAACACGAAGAAAGAAAAAAGAAACTTACAGCATTCAAAGTCTGCATTGTTGCCAAGTCATCTGGTACATTGACTGGCCGTTGGTTAGCCCTTTTGGACTTAAGTTGGCCATGCTTGGTGGTCACGTCAGGAGCGTGAATAACAGGGTTCATTTGGTGCACCATTTTTGTGAGCTTTTGTTTTAGCTACAAGAAAGAAAAATATAACAAAACTAATTAGATTAGATTTTTCATGCACCACATCCTTCAGGACGTGGGCGATCTTATCACTTCACACATTCTTGTCTTTTGTTGCTCTAGATAGTAATCCCAAGGAAATTAAATGTGAACGTGAATACAATCGATCAGACTGAGTTTTAAATTTGGCTTTTAGCATTCCACTACCATCTTTTTTCATCAATGTCGATTTCTGTTCAAAAAGCGGATCACAGAGCTTATCCAGCTTCATACATATTTTCAGAAAACTTCAACTTTTGATTGGTCATTTAATATTTAAATCGTGTTTGAATAACATCGACCTAGTTCTTGACCTGACTAAGAAATATTTCTGCCCAAAATCTTTCAATGCCTTTTGAGCCTGTCATGTGATTAAGTTGATTATAAATACCAGACACGAATTCGTTCTTCCACTTCCTTGATTTCTCTTGCTACAAAAGTGTAGTTGTAAAATTTAAAAAGAGATCGTGGCTCGACCCTTTGCAGGCGGACGCTATGAAAACATATTCACACATACGCATACACATACGCATACACATACGCACAAAACTTTCTAGCTACATTACAAACATAAGAAACTTTTCAAACTTCATTATGAACATTACAAACTTAATGACAAGCAACGGAAACTTAATTACGAACATCACAGAACATTCACTCCTTCAACTCTTCTGAAGCTAAAAGTTTACTCAACATATTCTCAGTTTTACAGAATTCTTTCAACTTTCTAACAGTGAACATTCTGAGCGGCAAATTCATTCAACTTTTATGAGTTTCTTAGATAAAAAATATTTCATTAGTTAGTAAAAACTTCAGTCAAAGGGACATAACACCAACAAAAATAGTAACCCCTATGCCTGTACATCATTATACAAATATAAATATTAATCTTATTGTTATAAAACCGTTTTGTATTCCTTCGTGTTGTTTCTCTAGTTACCTTTGCATTTGCTTACACATTCGTAAAGTAAAAAAAAATGTGCGGATTGATTTAGGCCGTCAATACTGCCATAGGCTCACTGATTCCCCTTTTGTTTTGAGAAACGTCATTAGCATAGCCAACATTATTTGGAAACTTTATTAATCTTTTTGCATATTCATTGTTGTTCATGTCTTAGCCGAGCCATTTTTGAGAAATCGTCAACCGTAAAAGAAAACAAAAATCATCTTTGATGAAAAAATCGAAAGATAGCAGAAATTCTTCATTATTGTACCAATTGGACTAATCTAGTTTTCTGTCACCTGATAATGTTTTATTGAGCAAAGAGGGTCCTCTCGTTTTTGTAATGGATTTACACTTAATTGACGAAAACTGAAGATTGAAGAATGAATCAACCGAAACATCTTTATTTTAATAATAGCAAATTCAACGAATATGACAATGTCCAATGTTGGATCAGTATTTTTTGTAATCATTTTTTCAAATATGGACATGTTATGAGTATTTACTTAGTAGGGTACTAAGACATATATGTGGTATAATACCCAGTGATGATCGAACATACAGTAATTAATGGTTTCGTGACCATTACCCAATACGGGTTTTTTGTGTTATCATCTTTAGATATAATTCAGGTTTTGATATGTTACAAGGGAGACAACTCATATTAAATTTGAGAATAAATTGTGTTCAAATGATAGAGGGAGATAACTCATATAGCGCAAATGTAAACTGTCTATTTATAATCATGCTCACTTTTGAAAAAAAAAGTAACAAAAAACGAAAAACAAAAACACATACCCTGTTTTTAAAGATTTATTAAACTTATGGGAATTATCGGAATTAATTAAAATTTGAAGCATTTATTCATTAATGAATGAACGTTATACTGAAATCATGTTTATTTTAAATTTTGCTTGTGAACCATTTTTGTTCAGGTTAGTTAACCCTTCCCTTTCACGCACTCACACTTTTTAGTTTAATAAAACAGAAAACTCATGTCTAATTCGTACTAGTGAATTTTGGGTATTCCTGATTTTTACATTTTTATAAAATTAAATCCCCCAAGGTGTCATTAACAACACAAATTTGAATGGATTTTTAGTGGGAAATTTCAACAGCAGAAGGTGGGTTATAAGATAACAATTGTGTATAACCTTTGAATTTGTTGATAAATGAGGAAAATGTATTCTTCGTTATAGTTTTGGTGAAAAATAAGTGATATTTTTTAAAGAGTTTTAGTTTCTTTTGTCAGCATCCATCATATTTGCTCGTTAAGATGGGAAAAATGAATTTGTTTTTACTTTTTTAGTTTAAAATCGTCTAGCTACACTATTTATTTAAGGACCTAATTTTTCTCTTTTTACATATTAAAGGCTATTATCCAAAGAAAACCAAAATTTATCTTCAAAGAAAACATTTAAATTTTTTTTTAAATGCGTTTTTGAGCTTTTACAGATTTATTTATCACACAGAACCTTGTTATGATCCAGAATGATGATATTTCATCATTCTAAAAACAATCTTTCCACCAGTGATGAATGTTGATAAGGATATTTCATTATCCAGGAAATAAAGATAAAAATTTCATCATCTAAAACAGCCTTGCCACCAGTGATGATATATGATGATGATATTTCATCATTCTAAAATCTGAAACTTCATCATTATAAAAATGACGTTCCACCACAAGCAAAGTCAGTAGAGTAGAGTAGCAGTAGTAGAAAGAAACACAACACATCATATCACCATTGCTGTGAAAGTTGATGATCTTAAACACTATCCTTAACAATGAAATTCTTGGAACAAGCAAAAACAAGTAAGTACAAACTTCTAAAGAAACAAAAGAGACACTGACACTGAAAACATTTTTAACACACACATTACCAATATTGTAATTAATGAAAAGAAAAATACACATTCTTGTCATTAATTTCAACATGTGTCTCAAAGTGTCTTATGGTTTGTTATTGTTCTATGTTTTATTAATTTGTTTTCAGTAAAAAAAAAAAAGAGAAAGGATTCTTCTATCAACTACAAATACAAATAACAATGGCATAACTTACATTAACAACTACACATCAACCCTGTTACAACCTCTTTCCCGCAAATGAAACGTTGATAGCCTTTTGCTATTTTCATCGTAAATGTTCAGACAAGTTACTTTTCCTTAGTTCCACTAGTTCAGACCTTCACAGCTAGGACCTGTAATGTCACATACACAGAGTCAACTCATCTACATTCAATTTGTATTCCATTGGTAAGGAAGGAATTCCACTCAGATAGCTTCTTCCTATGAACTATCACTGCATGGAACAGAATCCTGAGAGGATGCTTTCCCAAGCACTATGATTTAACCTCTTAAAGTCTCTGGTCTACCATTATCTATCCTGCATATCTTCATATTATGCATTTCTTATTTCCTCTTTTTAGATCCTTACAACAACCTCATTCAGTAACCCATCTTGAGTGGCTTTTAGGCAGGGCCAGTGTCATACTACCCCTGAACCCCCGCTGACTGGGTTGGCCCAAGCCTGATTGGGGACCCCAGGCAGTGCTTTGTGACCCTTGATATCTTATCAAGACTTGTTTTTTTCTACCAACATTTATATATGTTACAAATTAAACTAAGTACAACCATTAAAGGATGAAATGGTTTTGTGTAATTCTGAGTTGTTTTTTTGTCCAAATCTATGAATTTGTTTTGCTAATGCTAAGTCTTGAAAATAAATAAAAAAAACTACATAAAATTGACTATTTTTTTATCCATAATGTTGGATGCATTAAAATTATTCAACTTTTTAACAAGAGAAAATCTGAAGCTGACATTAAAAAATTATTGCAAAACATTTTTGATTTATTTAAGATGGCATGATCTGTTATGACATGATTCTAATTTATATTTAGATACATTGTATTAATTTTCAATTATTCTAGTTGAATTGTTCATCTATATTACATATGATTCATTAATGTACATAACTAGGTTACAATAAAATTTGTATTTTATATGGATAGTACCTTATGAAAATTGTGATATAGTAAAGTGGAGGGGCCTCTATCATAGATTCAATGGGGACCCAAGAGACCTTTGCACCATCCCTGCTCTCAGGCATTGTATTAGATAAACAACAGTATCAAAAAAGGAAAAAAATAGATACTCACCAAACTTACGTCATTAGGTACTTGTTTAAAAAATGGGTGATCAAAAAGCTCCTCGGTGAAAAGTCTTTAATCCTCTGTTGAAATAAAGAATAATAAGGTGAATGGTCGATGAGTTTGTGTGGATTATGTTATGTTATGTTATGTCTACAGCATCTGTTGGAAATAAAGAATCAAATAAGATATCAAAAAAATAACATTTGAAGTAATAAAAAAATGTTGGATATAGTAAAAATGTTCAGATGAGTTTTGTTTGGATTATGTTGAATGTTATGTAAATTATGTTATGTCTATCAGGAAGACTGAATCAATAGTTTCTCCTGTTAAATTATTTTGCCTTGCTTAATGAGGTAGAATTTCTTTCCTCTGGCAAATCCGAAAAATTATGCTTAAAAGGCAAAAATTTTTTAAATAGTGTCTACTCAAATATATGTGCATAGGTTTAACACTAAAAATAATTATTTGAAGCTTAATCAAAAATATGTTGGATTAATAAATGCATAAAAATCCATTAAATTTCAAATAGAGCCTTTTAAAAATTGCTTTGTTTATGAATCTTTCTGAGGTTTAAAATGAAAATTAAATTATGCTTTTAAAAGCAGTCTTAATCATGATAGTCTTTGTTTTGTTAAACACATTGAATCTAAACAGTTTCTCCTGCATAGGTTTAAAATCCGAACAATTAAATTATGCTTAAAAGGCAAAATAGAGCCTTGCTTAATCATGATAGTCTTTGTAGCTAAGTTGGTTAAACACATTGAATCTAATGGCAGTTGGTTTAAAACCGAACAATTAAATTATTGCAAAATAATCTTAAATGGCAGCTAATTTGGTTAAACACATTGAATCTAATGGCATGCATAGGTTTAAAATCCGAACAATTAAATTATGCTTAAAAGGCAAAAAGGCTTAAAAATAGAACCATTGCTTAATCATGATAGTCTTTAAAAGGCAAAATAGCTTAAATGATAGTCTTTTTGGTTAAACACATTGAATCTAATGGCAGTTTCTCCTGCATAGGTTTAAAATCCGAACAATTAAATTAAAAGGCAAAATAGAGCCTTGCTTAATCATTAGTTTTGTAGCTGTTGGTTAAACACATTGAATCTAAAATAGGGAACAATTAAATTATGCTTAAAAGGCAAAATAGAAATCATGATAGTAGTTTTTGTAGCTAAGTTGGTTAAACACATTGAATCTAATGGCATGAGGTTTAAAATCCGAACAAGTAAATTATGCTTAAAAAGGCAAAATAGAGCCTTGCTTAAATATAATCTTTGAAGGTTTCTAAGTTGGCAAATTGAATCTAATGGCAGTGGAAAATGAATCTCCTGCATAGGTTTAAAATCCGAACAATTAAATTATGCTTAAAAGGCAAAATAGAGCCTTGCTTAATCATGATAGTCTTTGTAGCTAAGTTGGTTAAACACATTGAATCTAATGGCAGTTTCTCCTGCATAGGTTTAAAATCCGAACAATTAAATTATGCTTAAAAGGCAAAATAGAGCCTTGCTTAATCATGATAGTCTTTGTAGCTAAGTTGGTTAAACACATTGAATCTAATGGCAGTTTCTCCTGCATAGGTTTAAAATATATCTAAATTTATCCTACATCAATTACAACAAGCAGTAATGTACATATGAAATATTATAAAGTTTAAGCATATATTTCAGATACAAGTATTCACTAAAAATATTGTTTTAAGTAATAAAAATATATAAAAATTAAAATCCATTAATTCTTTAGAAATAAAATATATATATATATATATATCCAAAATTTATTCACACGTTGAAATTTATTTCTTTTTAAAATATTGAATTCATTTACTTTTGTTATAGACAAGCGTATGGTTGCAAGAAAGAAATACGACAACAGTAGAAATAGATTTATGTGGTTTATTTGAACAGGAACGTGAGGGTTTGGGACAGCTACCTTGGTGTGGTAAAGTTCATAAGCCGGCTTTCAGATCTGGTCGATCTCTCATAGTAGTTCGCACATGTTGACGGTGATTGATGCTCCCCTGCTGCTGTCAGCAGCTGAACGTGACAGGTCTATATCCTGGGCACCTGTTGAACTTCCGTGTGACCCCTTTTATAGCGTTTTTTTATGGCTTAACAGGCTCGAAAAACAAGGTGTGTATAATTAGGAGGGAAGCATTTTTATTGGACGAAAAATAGAGCACTTTAAATATTATTTTATTTTTCGACCAGAACACGTGTGTCGGGAACATTTGTAAAGAAAGATAATGGTCATTTTGTGACGGGGCTTTGTCCCATTTACATCCGGTTCTCGCTCTTGAGTATTTGCCTGTAAATCAGCCGAGATATGTCTTATTTTATTTTATAACACTTTGAAAGTTCTATAACAATTTGTAACTCTTTTCACTACAAATTGATTACCCACAACAACTTCATCCATTACAAATCATAGCTCACCTCTGCTACAGAGTCCACTTTTTAGTTCCACCATTTCGGAACTTTACCGCTAGAACATATTATGCTACTTCCATGGAGCCAAATCACCCTCATTTCTACCATGTTCAAAATGTAAAAAGGAAGTTTCAATCAGACAGCTTCTTTCAAAAGAACTGCCACTTTTTGGGACAAACTCCCGTGGGAGTACTTCCCTGAACACTTTAATCTTGACCTTTTAAAATCAACGGTCAATCCTTATCTATTCTCCTTATCCTACTCCTATCATCTTCTCTTCCATTCATACACACAACACATTTGTCAGTACCTCTTGAACCTTGTATTGGGTGAAATTTTAAAAAAGAATTATTTTTAACTGAGTAACTTATTTTAGCTCTCTATATTTTTTGCATCAAACTATTTGGTATGGTTCAACTGAATTCTTAATATTTTGCAAGATCAAAAATTCCTTTTTATTAATAAAAAGATTTTTAAAAAAATGGAAGAAAAGAAGCAAGGATAAAAATTTTTTTAAAGGTCAGCCAAACATGGCTGTTTTATATTATTTCTATTAATAATATCTAGTGACATAAAAATAAAGTAAAAACCATAAATTGCAGCATACAAGCTGAGTTTTCAAGCCTAAAAAAATCTTTTTAAAAACTAGGTTTTGACTTATATGGCGGGTGTAAAATGCAAACCTTTAACACTGAATTGTAAACAAGTGGGACAATTACTCTACACCACTTACCATACCTCCGCGGGCTGCCACAAATATATACCACTATAACATATATCCGGTGAATATATTTGGCATATTAACATAGAAATGAATATAAAATAATAAAATAAATTCAGTATTCAATTAATGCTGCAGCACACATCATGTCCAACATCTGATAAACGACAACAACTGAAGCACCATTTAAGTCAAACAGCCATTAAGACAACTAAGTAACATTCAAGTAAACATTGTGAGTTTATGTAGTTTTAGCACAGGTTATCATATACTGTAGTCTAACTTCATTTACCTGTAGGCCTAAGCTTTGGGCCACTGGTAGCCTACCATATGTTTGGGGGTAAACCTATATGGTAGGTATAAGCCTGATTTAGAGTTTTGAGCTAAAAATCTTGAGGTTGACTTGTATGCTGAAATTTATAGTACATATTTCAATGCTATGAATTATGAATCAACCAAGCAAGGCAGAACTAAAGTTAAATCATAGGAAACTGTATGTAAAATTAGTTTATCTTCTCTTCTATTCACATTCCATTTTAGAGATTATAATTGGGAAAACTTGCAGAAAGGAAATTTTGGTTTCTCATGAACTTTTGTTTGAGAACAGAACACAACATTAGTTTTTTTTAATCCAGAATGCTAACCTTTCATTTTTGCTTCACATTGTTACAGGTGTCATGTCAATGCAAAATGATAAAAATACTGGTTATCACAAAATGAAAAACCAGTACTAACACCAAAACCAGGATACCATCCACAAAAATCTTTGCTTTGTGTCTGGGGATTGTAAAAATTGTCTTCATTATGAGCTATTAGAATATGGAAAGTGCATCATTGCAGAGCTTTATTGCTGGCAACTTGATCAGTTAAACAAAGTATTATGTTGAATTATCTTGCTTTGATAAAGTGAAAAGGTGTAATTGTCCAGCATAATAATGCAAGGGTGCATTCTGCAAGACAAACCAAGGAAATTATGATTAATAGGAGGGAAATTTCTTTTAACCAAGAATTTTAATCTTTTATTTTTGTATTGCATTGTTATAAGTGATGAAAAATGGGTTTTGCATATCAATAGAAAATGAAAAAGACCGGTTATCACAAAATGAGAAATGAGTGCCAAGGCCAAAGGTAGGACTTCATTCACAGAAGTCCTTGTTTTGTGTTTGGTGGAATATGAAATATGTTGTTTATCAGGAATTGCTGCATTATGGAAGGACCATCAATGCAGATATTTATCACAAGAAAATTGAGTAAATGAAGTGTTACATTGAAAATATCCTGCTTTAGTAAACAGAAAAGGTGTTATTCTTCAGCATGACAGTGTAAGGGTGCACTTGGCAGAATAAACCCAAGAAAAAGTATGATCAGTAGCATGGGCAGTTCTTTCACATTATTGGTTTCAACCTTTTGGAATGACTGCTAGCAACATCTTACTCAAATTTAAAGAAATATACTACAGATGCATGCTGGGATTTCTCCCTAACCAATAAACATAGACCACATCTCAGTCTCATCAGCTATATATTTGTTCTTTCTTATATTGAAATCACAACACTTCAATCACTTGACTGTATCCCTTTTGCATATGAACACCATTCTCACTTTGCAAACATTTTGCCTTAGTATTGCTGTTTTACCTAGTTTTGACTTGGATATATTTAATGACAAAAGTATGCAGGTGTTGGTTTTAAGAAAGCTTTATTCAACTGAGAATACAAGGTTCATGTATAGTGTCATTTTATAGTCCCAGTAAACAGAAATAGCTCTCTCATAGAGTAGAGTAACAAAACAAGGGGGACCACTCTTGATTATTCATAACAATATATATTGTTTGCTTAGTATTATTTTGCCTTGTTCTTTTTCTTCATTTTCTTATTGTTTATTAGAAACATTGTCAATTCCATTTGTTGAGCATTTTGCCAATTACACTTAACCATAGCCAATTATTGTACACACATCTTTCATACTTATCAGAGTTAGCACCCCAGATATTCATTTGTTTTAATCTCTAAAACATTTCAGAAGTGGGAGAACATTCAGAAAGAAAAAAGTTGAAAACAGTCTTTCAAACTTTTTTCAGGGAAAAACTCCAATTATGGGAGGTTAGAAAAATGATACTGTCTCAGAAACCACAACAACTTTAGGAACAAAGTGCCCATGAGACTGACAATTCCTTTAGATGATCAATCAAAAATTTGCCTTTCCATGTTCTGCAGTCATTGAAAATGAATATGATTACATTTTTGATAAATATTATTTAAATAAATGTAACTTACATCTGTTTTTATATCATTTCAGGTAAAACATAATTACTTTCCAAATACCCTAATGCAGCTATTTTTAGTGTATAAAAATCTCCCAAGGATAAACAACAGGAGTTAAATTCTTGTCACAAAATTAATTCTTTATTTTTGATCCATGCTGCTTGCTTAATGGTCATAGAATGAAAAATTATTTCAACATTGTGGAAAAAAGTAACAAAATAATACGAAAAAAAACTGACCAATAGCTAATAATTTACAATGCTTCAACAAATAAATTAAGACTATTATATCTACTACTACTAGGTGGAAGCAAACAATATGAAGTAAATACTGGATAAGGAAGTATTTTATGTAGCTATATGAGTAAATTTAAATATTGTTTGATGGTTATTTTTTTGGAAACTAATTAATGAGTTTCTATCCATATCAAGCAAACTCCCAAGCACAGTCTTTATTTCTAATCCATGTTGTCTAAGTCTGTTTTGGAGTTTGTTCAACATGTGGTACTCATCTTCTCTGCTAAAAGTCTAAGCAACCCAAGGACAGGCAGTTGCTCCTTTTATCCAAGACAGGGTAAACAAAGTTTCAGCACATGTTGCTTAGTTCACAATTTTAGAATTCAAACCAATCTGAGATATTCTATAAAAATTAACAACAATGAGACGAAAGTAAAACTAATAAAAAATTAATAAAGAAAAGTCTTCATCTAAGAAATTTTGACAACTGCATAAATTACTTCTTCTTTATATACTGTGTCCCCTCGAGTAGAGACAATCATGACTCTCCACAACTTCTCCTTTCTAGCTCTTAATAAATTTTGTCTTTCTGTTATTTCTCCTAAACCCTGTTCTGCCATCCATTTACTCAAGCTCACTAAGTATGTTATGTGTTGTTTTCCCCTGTCAGTCTTTTCTTCAATCTGTCTTGTAGGTATCAGATTTTCCAAGCACTCTTTCCTCATTATGTGCCCTAGAAGCCTTAACTGTTTCTTCATGATGTTAAGTATAAGTTTCCTTTTTGCTTCCATTTTCTCTAAAACTCCATTGATGGTCACATGCTCAGTCCATGGTATACTCAACATTCTACCGTAGAACCACATTTCTGTTGCTTCAAGTATCTTTTTCATCTCTGAGGAAATTGTCTAGTACTCACTACCATACAGGAAGACAGATATCACATAACAGTTTAGTACTTTTTCCTTTGTTTCTAGTGAAACTTTTTCTATTTCTTAATACTCTGCTTAGCTTTTGGAATGCATCTTTTGCCATTCCAATATGCCTTCAGATTTACCTACACAAGGCTAAAATTATAGATCACTTGACAAGAAGTTTGTTTATTTTCAATAGTTCAAAAGATCACTATATGTGTTACTATATGTATCCTTTCATTAAAAATGACAAGAAATGTTTTTCAAAAGAGGAATTAAATATACAGTAGTTAACAATATGTTCAGTTCCAAAGGGATGTTAATTAATGTTTTCATTATTATATCTGTTAATTACTAAAGGACAATAATTAATATTCCCCTTTTTGAAATTTACACTTTCTTTACATTTTGTTCTTTGCTGACTGCTATGTCGAAATCCTACTTTCAAGTGACACTATATAGTCTCTGAGGAATATTCATTGGTTTATGTGGCAAATGCATGTCAGTACAGATGCAAAAGAAGCCCTGGATTGAGTGTGGACATGTTTGTCAATACCAGTTACATTCAGGTTTTCACTGCTAGCAGCAGAATAGCATGGCATGTCTAGATACAGGCCTCTCTACAACTGGTCAAGATCCAGGTCTTTGTAAGATGCCTCATGCTAATAAAAGCAATAGGAAAACCAGCAGTCAGCAGTTGGCAGAACATGGTGTCTTGGGAAGTCAGTTGCATGGGTACTTTGTTCCTAAAGTTGTCGTGGTTTCTGAGACAGTATAATTTTTCTAACCTCCCATCTCTTTCTCCTCTCTGCTTATTACTATTTGGTTGGGAGAGCAATTAGGTATTTTCACCAAATCTCAACACACTGCTTACATTACAACAAGATATTCCAATGTAAATTGACTGAAAAAAATGTTAATATTGTCACAGTGTGCCCAAATACCACTCCCACCTTTTCTTAAACAACCCCGGATATGCCTGCCGGTAGAGAAAGGTCACGACCTTTGTGTGCTAAAAATAGCAATGACATCCTTTCAAACTGACAGAAATACACAAAACTCAATTTTCGCCAGAAACAAAAATAAAAGACCTTTAATTTCGAACCGAAATTAATTTAAATACAGTCAACAAACACTGAACACACTTTTGACTGTAATTAATACGGCCCGAAATTAATTATATTCATTTACTTGTTTAGCGTCACCGCTTCTCTTGTATGAATTGTCATATCTAGATCCCCGAGACTTCGCAGCGGTTTTTAGCCAGCCAGGGAGCAGCCCGGCCTTTGGGCTGGGTTGTGACCATGGCAAAGTCTAGTTTGGACCATATCAGGACCTGCTAAGACAAGCTAAGACTAACTTGGACCAGAACTTGACTAAGCTTTGACCAGCTTGGACATGTTATGACCAATATTTGACCGGGTTTCCCACGAAAAAGTGACCCTAAATGCGGAAACGCTCGGGTTTCCACTTAAAACGACCATATCTTGTGTCACATCTTGACCAATTTGGGAGTCTGACCAGCTTGGACATGTTATGACCAATATTTGACCAGTGACCCTATGCGGAACTTTCGGGGAGCGACCTTGTGTCACATCTTGACCCCCTGATTCGCCCGCCGACCTTCGGGCTGGGTTGCGACCATGGAGTCTAGTTTGGACCATATCAGACCTCAAGTCTAACCTTGGACCCAGCAGCTGACGGACCCAGCAGCAGTAGCAGCAGTTGTTCCCATTAAAAACAGTCCATTTTGACCCCAGGGCTAAGCCTTCCTGAAAGTCGACTTTGATCACCAGTCTTCAAGGCTTCAGCCTTTTGCCGGAGAGTAGCCAGCAGTTGTTCAAACAGTCCTTTTCAGGGCAACTTCCAGCACCGATCACCACTCTTCAAGGCTTCACTCTTTGCTCGGAGACGCCAGCTCACTCCTGCAGCTTCCAGCACTCCTGCGGCCTCCAGCTCACTCCTGCAGTTTCCAGCTCACCCCAACAGCTTCCAGCGGTCTCCAGCTCACCCCTGCGGCGCTCTACTGACGTCCCGCTACCTATTTCAGCACCCGCTGATGATCTAATCCAGTGCCCACTGACGTCCAGCGCCCGCTAACGTCCGGACACCGTTCGCAAATAAAGATACGATTTCCATCGTCTACAACGGACCATCTGCGTTTGTCATCCTTCTTTGCTATTGCCATCTCCTTGCCTTTGTGTCCCCTATTTTAGTTGTACGGTCGATTGGCACTCACACCTCTCGGCCCGCTGCAACAAAATGTTTCTTTGTGTTCTCCAATTTACATTCTCTCAAAACCATCTGACCATAGCAAAATAATATATGTATTTATTAGTCCCTGTCAGATGTGCGGCTAGTATAATGGATATCAGCTTAAAAGGAGAAATAGGTGAGCCGAGTTCAAATTCCAGGTGAGTTTAGTTACATTCACTTTGGCACAAATACTCTTGGCAAAGATATGAATATATCTTTTCCTCCATCGAATAAAAAATGCATCTAATACTGCAGATGGGTCTTTTCAGCCTTGGTGGGTAATTGGCCTAGGAGAATTCAAAACTGTATGTAGCTCTGGCAAAGCATATACTGTTGTGGAGTTCACAATGACTTGATAATCCTGACCGACATGGATGATAGAAATTAGTACCAGTCAAGAATGATAATGGCATAATAGCCTTTTGTTGCAGTTTTGCAGGTAAAACATTTATAGAACCATCATTTAACCAGGTCTCCTTTAACCTGCTTTCCTTTCTCTCAACTATCATGACAAGGCAGCAACAAAGCATTTTACTTACATATCTAGTAACTAATATAAAGGTAATGTAAAACCAGATATATTGTCAGTCTGTGGACCTGAAAGAAACGGCATTTAAGGCTTGCAAGTCTTTGTATTAAAGTGCTCAATATTAGAGATAGAGTATTAACAGGATTAATACAAATATGAAATTTGTCACTTAACTGATTAAATATCACATCAATCAGATAAATGACAAATTTAATATTTGTATTAATCCTATATATATATATATATATATATATATATATATATATATATATATATATATATATATGTATATATATAGTAGTATATTAGAGATGAAGCTTAAACTGGTCCAGTGACAGAACACTTGCTCTTATAAATTTTTCTCATATCACAAGCATATGAAAAGAAGTTTTTTTTTTTAGGTAAACTGCTTTCATTTCATCACAACAAAGAACTTTTTCACTGGCTGATGCTAACCTTCAGGTGAGCAACTCTTTGTCCTTTCTTGGGCTCACATTCCCCACTGACATGAAGTGGAGTGATTATATTGAATCAATTGCTAGGATTACTGCTAGAAAAGTTGGTTCATTGTGTTGTGCCAGAAAATCTTTCTTGTTACAATCCATTTTGGACATTTATAAATCTACCATTCATCTGTGCATTGAATACTGCTGCCATATCTGGTCTGGTGCTCTTGCTATTCATCTTGAGGTTCTTGACAAAATCCAAAAGAATCATCTGTAATATAATCAATACTGATGTAGCATCACAACTTCAGTTACTTTCCCACTGCTGTAACATGGCTTCCCTCTGTTTTTTCTATAAAAATTTTCAGAACAATTGTCGTGGTGAGCTTTTGGTAGCCGGACTTCATGAATTTAAGCATGCTACTAGATTGGCAACTAGGTCTCACCATTTTACTGTTGAACTTGTTAGATACAATCTTCTGTCTTTCTGATACCGGTTCCTTTATTGTCCTTTTTTCACTTCTCATTCTTTTTAACTCCACATAACCCCCTGTGTCCTACTGACATTGCCTTGCTTGGGGGTGAAATAATTAAAAAAAACGAAAAATAAGACTTATTATTAGGCTTGTGCAAAATTTTCTAGCATCCTTTTTCTGAAAACTAGAAACTGAATAAAATAGAAGATACTGGTAACATTTGCAAACACTTAATATATTTTGATTTGAAAAAAGCTTAAAAAATATGTAATGTCTAGTTTCCTGTTAAAAAGTTAAAGTGATAAAACTCGGAAGAAAAGAATTTACTTACTTAGCAACAAAGTCTTGAAATTCCTTTGACCAAAGGTCAGGATTTTTAAATGTTGGGGGAGGATTTCTGAAATAAAAAGAAAAAAAATGATACTTTTAATCTGTTTTGAACAAGTAAAATAATTTTGCAATTGAAACATGTCATATTAATTCTGCTTCTTGACTTGTCTATTGTCTGATTTTATATTTAGGAAATTAAAAGTGGATATAGAAATTGGGTTGATGCAAAATTTTCCAATGGGAATTTTTGGCACAATTTTAGCTAAATATTAGAAGTGTATCTTAAGCTTACATAGATTTTTATTGTTTTAACACATTTCTTAAAAACTTTAGGCAAAAATCTGAAGCTAAGTAAATGGGTTCCACCATGAATGGATAAGAAAGTACATTGGTTACCATTTAAACACTTGTCTTTCTCTTTTTATTTGACAGAAAAAAAAGTAAACCTTTGGACAAAATAATCACAAGTAATGAGAAATAAATTTATTGCGAGAATTAAAACTGATGAAAATCATGGATAGATCCAGGAAAATTTTCAATGCTTTAACCTAAATGAAATCTACTGGAGAAAAATTTTCTTTATTATTTGTGATCCAGAAGGAATGCTTTATTAAGTTTTTTAAGTTGCTATGTAACAATATGGTGAGCAATTGGCTTGTTTGAAAGATTTTTTGAGTGGCAAAAAAGTCAATTACTGATTTTGGGATTGTCTCTCTTCAATGAACAAAATCAGTAAGTTATGTGTAATGCGTGGTACACAGTCATGTATTGAAAGACAAGGCAGATTTTTTTTTCCCACAGTAGGTTTCCATTTCTTTCTGTAGTAGACTAGTTGCCATCCAAGCCTACAGAACCTGGTCTATCCTGCTATTTACCCATACCTTTCCCAAGGGCTTTAGCATGTAAGTAAATGTAATGGATTTGACTGGAACTTGGCTCTCCAATTCCTCAATCTGAGCTACTCTCCATTACTCCACATACAATGCAATAAACAACTAATGAACTGTGATAGGAAATTCTACTACATATGGTGGATTCTCCATGTCTGACTCCTGATTATCACTTGTTTCACAGCATAGGCCTCAGAATGAGAAATCAGAGAATGAAGTAAAAATTCTGGTTGGAATTTTTTCATTCATTTATGAGCTAATACCCCCTTGCTACAGGTATGATTCCATCTCTTCTCCTAGCTAGGGTCTAAATAGTAGAACTTATATCTGCAAAAAGTATTGTTATTCTCAAAGAAATTGTTAATGCCATTAATTCACTCACAAAAGAAAAAAATTCTTACAATCCAAAATATGTTTTGGCTTTAAATAACCCACAAAGAGTTGATAAGTTCATAAAGAAACAAATTATTCAATTAATCGAAGTATACACAGCTCCTTGTCGATCCAGCAGTTGTAAAAAAATTTAAATATTAAAAAGTTCCTCAAAGAATTAATCCTATCAAAATTAGAAAAGAATAAAACATATTTATTTGTGTATAATGTGATAAATTTTATATTAGAAGCAAGACCTAAAATGGGTTTATACATAAAAGTAAATATTTGACAATCTTGTTGACTTGTAAAATCATGTGTGATTGTGTTGACCCTGAGTCCCTAATTATTGGCTCATGTGAAACCATGATTCTTGTGGTGAACAAATGTGTTATGCATAGATATAATTTATATAATGATCTACAGAAAAAGTATAAGTATTTTACTTCTCCCAAGCAGATCCTTTGTAAAGGTTTTACTCTTCATTTAATTTATTCATCTGATTCTTTTTTTCTAATTCTTTAGAGAAATATTTGATTTTTTAAAATTAGAAAAGAATAAAAAATATTTATTTGTGTATAATGTGATAAATTTTATATTAGAAGCAAGAGCTAAATTTCGTTTATAACATAAAAGTAATTATTTGGCAATTTTGTTGACTTGTAAAGTGTTTAATCTGTGAACAAGTGGATTAATGAAACTCATGGTAATAATAACCTAGGTTGTTAGGAATGGTTTGTGAAATTTTAAAAAAAGGATTTTGAGCTTGAGGGTAATTTAAATATTTTGAAGGATGACAAAACTTCTAAACTGATGAAATTGGAAGGCCTTTTGAATAATATCAAAACTGGAATTCTTCTTTTATGATACAATATACAGTTTATCTGAAAAGTAGTAGATGGTCATAGAAAGGCATGGAAAATCTTTTGACAACTGAATAATGATGCTATGAACTTAAATGAATACAAGAGAAAATAATTGTGCAAACAATTTTATCAATAAGAATTAAAATGAATGTACAATTGCAAGAGAAAGACAAGATGAAACAAACATGTAAAAAAATAATGGAAGCATTATTATTAAAAAAGAAAAAGCCAACACTCAATAACATCAACTATGAACATGGTCATAATTTGCTGATCATGTTTGGAAAATAAAACTATATTCCTGTAACTCTAGATACATACAAAGAAAAATTCATGCATTCAGTTAAAAGTAACAATAAAAGCATCCTTGATAATGGGTAAAAGAATAGTTGAAAGGGCTGAGACATAGCAAACATTCAGACATTTTTTGCATGATTTATGCACAGAAAATAAAAAAATTAAATAAAAAACTAAACCACAGTACCTTTTCAATCATTTC